ATCACCATCAGTCCCATGTCAGAAAAAGGGAAATAAGCCTGAGAGGTGGAGTCCCTGACTTATTTCAAGTCAGAGGCCAGGAACCATGCCACCACAAGCCTGACCAACAAAGCCATATCATGGGAGCCAAAAAAGTCATGGTCAGCACAGGAAAAGGGTGCAAGGCGCCGTATGCCTAGATCAGGGCTCTGGAGGCTGAGACGGTGGTGAAAGTTCAGCTGCTTTCTTGCAGTCTGGCAAAGCTTTCCCAGTGGCACAAGAATCTAATCTCCCAGCCCTGTGGTGGGCTGACGTAAGTGGTGAGTGGTAAGCGTCCTGGTCAGAGAAATGAGACTTGGCTAGGTGGTGATGGTCCAGAGAATAACCCTGGGCAGCTGCCTCCCCCTCCCACAGGAACCTCACTACCACTCCCAACCCAGGCCATCCACCCTCCCCAAGATGGTGACACGAGCTTCCTCACAGCCCTGTGAGCTCTCTTGTCCCAAGAGCTCCTCCTGGCCTGCCTCCTTCCCCAGCCAACAACTCTCATCCCATCATGAGCCTCGCTCTCTGGGTTCCAGTACACAGACCATCTTTCCTTTCTCCCCGCAGGGCTTTGCGTGTGCTACTACTTCCAGGTACACATCCTCACCTCCTTCCACCTGGGTCACTCTTCGGCTTCTCTGTGGGACTGCTCAGCTGTCATTTCCTCTAGAAAGCCTTCCTTGGCCACTGGCCACATCCATCCTGGGACCTCAACAAACTAAGAGTTAAGATGAGCTGTTGAAGGCCCATCCCCCCAGCTGAGGGCTCTGTGCCTGGCCCCCAACTGCTGAGCCTGGTCCTCAACTGTTGAGCAAGGCCCTAGGCTGGTGCTCTGTATGCTGGCTGCTGGAGATGAGCCCGCACGTGGCCTAGGGCTCTCCACACCTGGGAAGTCTGATGCACAGATGCTGAATTCACCACAGAAGAGGGGCACAGGGAATATTCTGCATCCTGACCTGCTGGTAGTCACCTGGGTGTATATACAGATTGAAATTTACTATCAGTACACTCTACGTATGTATGATGTAGCTCAATTTTTAAAAAATTTAAAAAAGAAGGCATTTTCTTCAAAAGTCAAGTTTTTCTTCTTAGGAATCTCATCTCCCACAAATTGGTGAACAATAAACAAATGAATCACAAATTTTCTTCTCTTCTCTTGAAACAACTAATCATTTGCTGCTTCGGAGGCCACTCAGGCTGCTTGGGTGAGGCCCATTTGCCCCTGGACTCTCCTGGTGAAACAGCTGAGGATGGGACAAGGGGCAGGGCAGAGGCTGGTCAGGATGCACCTCCAGGGGCCAAGAAAGCCCCACGGTGGTGGGGGCCCCCAAGCCTGACACCACACCAGAGGCCAGGCTTTTATCCACAGCTCTTCTGGGACTTACTGTGTGACCTGGCCAGGGGTTTCCTATTGGTAATGCGTGAGTGCTGGCTTCCTAATGTGGGACTTTGTGCCCTGCATTCCAGGTATCTGAACTCTGTACACAGCCCCCACTCCCCAGCTGGTCTCCTCCCTTTCTAAAACCTCCACAGTGGTGGTCTCACCAAAACCAGTGTAAGGAAGGAAAACCTAGTATCCTAATGCCCTGGCGTGGGGGTCGGGGGGCATGCATGCAAAACCCAGGGGACAGCTCTTCCAGCTTGCCTCCACTTCTTTCTCTTTCAGATGTCTGTGGATTCAATCTGAGTAGGTGGTGTGCTCATTCACACAGGTGTATTTAGGAGGCAGGGTATAATATCAAGGTCACTGCTGGGGGAGGTAGGGACTCAGTTCCCTCAGGGACCCTCCCAGGATCAATCACCTGATGTACTGGAGGAAGGGGTGGGTAGAAGTGTCTTGGGCTGGCCCTGAGAAAGAGGACATTAATTCTCCTGCACTGTGGCCCGCACTACGCCCAGGTGAGTGGGCTCCTGCAACAGAAAAGACCCCAGGTGAAAGTGGGGACATGGAGGGCACCTGCTAGAGATGGGAGCTGATAAGCTGGAGCTGAAGCCAGAGGAGGGTTGAGGGAACAAGAGACCCTGGTGCCCTGGTTCTTACACAGTAAGGACACAACATCAGAAAGAGTGATTGCTCTTCCCTCTTCAGGGATGCTGAAGGTCCTCTTTGGCCCAGGTACAGTGCGAGTCTCAGAGATTATAAGAAGCCTGGTGGCCCAGTAGCCATGAGTTAACAAAATTTTCACCTGGCAGAGCATGTCCACAGATCTGTGATCATGTTTGTTCACTTACAATCAGCAGTGAGGGTACTCACAGCTACCAGAGCCAGGCACACAGCAGGTACTCAATAAATGTTTATGTGACTAGCATATAAAAATACATTGTTCACTTCACGAGAGGAGGCAGACATGGAAACCGAGGCACAGGGGGCAATGACTTCTCTTAAAAGGGGTGGAGCTAAATTCACATACTTGTGTCCACCCCACAGACATCTGCCTGGATCAGGCGCCATCACCTAATGCAGGGACTCTTCTGATGGCATACTACCAGTGTGCCTGTACTACAACCCCTTCCCATGCCACCTCACAGTCTGCTCTCCACACAGCAGCTAGGTGATCTCAGAACGAAGGGGAGCCCAGAACCAGCAGAAGGTCAGCTTGGGCCTTATCAGAGTAACTGCACACACAGGAGACAATTAAAAGAACAAACGACTTCTTCAAGTCGAGACAGGTCTGAATGGGAGAACACCTAAGAAACATCCTTGCCAAAAAATTCAAACCTGAATCTGCTCACATTTCTAGAATTTCCACCACTTCAGAGGTCGGAGGAACATGTGAAAGTACACCCAGGGACCCTATCAACAGAATCCAGGCTAAAGAAAGACCATGCATTTCTTCAACAACAAATTCAAGTGAAAAAATAAACAAGACAGAGATGGAGGTGAATCTATAGATTACGAGAATAATATGTAGATCTTATTGAGATCCTGGGAATTCAAGCACTAACTGAATATTTGAGGATGTTAAGAAATCATTGCTTGTGTATCAGATGTGACAAAGGTTTAAAGGACTCTTTCAGAAACACATTCTGAAAAATTGACAGAAAAAATAAGGGATATTTGGAATTTGGATTAAAATAACCTCAGGGATTAGAGAAGCTGACGAAATGATCACCCAGGAGGTGATGAGAATATGAAGTTCAGTAACCTCTTCTGGCTAATTTTGTATGCTTCAAATTCTTCATAACCAAAGGGGTTCTTTGTGTTTGTTTGTTTAAATTTCAAATATGCCTACTAAAGGAGTGAGGGAGAGAAACTCGGGTGGAAGAACCTCCTAGGCAGAGAGCCAGGTCTTGCTTGAGGGATTTTGAAGAATTCTACAGAACTTTGGGGTATTCTGTAAATGCTTAAATACTCCATATTTCAAGTACACTTTTAACTGGTTTTAAAAATCTCAATTAGAAAACACCCACCTTGCACTCAGATGTGACAAGATTCGGGTTAGTCCGTGGGCAGTAGCAGCCCACACGCTATTTTTGATTGTCTGTGAAAGATAAGTACACAGTCGAAAATCAGAGTTTATAAACTTTGACACAGTGACTTCATGTCTGTTGAGTCTCATAATCAGATAATGGGCTTAAATTTTATGTGTCTAAGTTTTTATTATAACAACTTTTATTGTATTTTTTAATCAGCCTATGAGAGATTGAAATTTAAAAGACAAACATATGGACTTTCACCACGGTGAGTTTGAGAAGCACTGTTATGGACTGGACATCAATTCCCTGGAGACCCAAACCTATCTGCTTAGGTGTCTTGTCAAAGGCTCCAAAACAAAGCCTCTCTTCCCCACTGTCTGTGGAGCCGACTCCAGCACTTCCTATGAACACAGCACTGACTAGAGAGGAGCAGCACAGCAAAGCCTGCTTGATTTTAATCCACGTTCACTTGGGTACTACCACTGGATCGGAGCCACACTTTACCAAAGGCCGGCAAGGCCCAGGAGATACTGAGTGCCCACCCATCAAGGTGCCATAGCCAGCCACAGCATGACAGTACCACCAGATCACATCCTAGAGCAGCCTAATGGGTAGGTAGCATACATGCTTTCATTTATAAACTGCTGGCACAGTGGCAAGTTATTAGTGAGCCAGCCAACTTTCACATACGTGCCTACTGCTGTTTCCTTCTCAAACTTCTGGATGGGTTTAACTGCAGAGGGTTCAAAGACCGCAAGGTGAGCTGCTTACAAATCCCCCACTGCTTCCTTGTGTCAACTACAAATCATTCTACCGCTGAACTAAATAAACTGCAGGAATCTACTGGGCACTGGGACTAGTGGAAGACATAAACCGGCACCGGTGGCCCCTGGTTTCAAGTGTGTGTTCATGAAAACAGTATCACTGTTCTCATTGCAGTATAAAAAAAATCACAAATGTGAACTATAAACTCATGCTAACATGCAACATCATCTGCATACTGGGGTTCCATGTTCGAGTCTCATTACTTAAAAAAAAAAAATGTTAACAGAGATGGTAGTCAAATTCCTCGGGTTGCCGTCCTAATTCTGCTATCACTCACGGTTTAGCAATTCTGGACCTTGGTTTCCTCATCTATAAAATGGGAACTGAGCCACTCATTTCATAGGTTTGTTAGGAGAGCAAAAGAAAATAAGAGCCAAAACTACACTTCAAAGAATTAAAAGTGCAAAGCCAAAAGCACGTGGTGATTTTTAACAAGTTCACACCACTGCCTAGGTTCCACTTCGTTCTCCTCCCTGCCTAGCCTTACTTATCTTATTTCCTCCTCCATAAAGTACAGACAGTCATAATGCAAATAGGACCAATTATAATATTATAAATAATAATATAACAAATTAAAATATCATTGATCAAAAAACCGATCACCAACCCTGCTACGTGTGCCCGACACAGTGCTCCCTGCTCCACTAAGTCTCCAGTAACCCTCCGTACAGTACTGTGAGGCCGACTTTATCACCTACGTACAGATAGGGCTTTGAGAGAACAACAATACTTGCCTTCTCTGCGTTCTGGACTTTGAGATCCCAGTGTAACAACACATATGAAAACCGATGCAAGTACACATGGGCTGTGACTTCGCAGCAGGAGTAATAGCATAGGTGGAGTTAACCTTGTGGCCGAGCCTGTGTGCTTTCCTGGGCCAGCCTCTCCTCACTGGAGCAGAGAAAATGTTTGCGGTGGTGTAGCCCTGCTGAGAACAGTGGGTACAAGCCCTCGGTGTGGCTTCAGGGTCCCTGACTCAAAGCAGGCATTACTGTTGACTCTGTGAAGCTCAACCAGCTGGTGCAGAACATGGGTCAGGGGAGAACAGAGGGGAGGGTGCTTCCAGCAGCCCCCTCTCCCAGCTTGGGCAGGCTACCGAGGCCCTGGAAGGCAGCCAGCGTTTGCCAGGAATGGCTTGCTTTTCACAAGACAATGAGTCCACTGTTAACTGGTGAGGCCCTGATTAATATTTGCAAAAGGAATAAAGTGGAAAATTCCACCTGTGTGGGTGGAGGCAGGGCCTGGGACATGTCAACAACCCTAAAGGCCTTGTTCTCTCAGGATGAATGACAAAGAAACAAAGGTCTGATGGTAGTGACACAACACGAGGATGTCATCCTACTTGGATCCAAAGGAATTTCCCTATTTGAATCATAGAGATATTAATTTGTTTTTTATTATCCTTCCTCCCCTGCTCCTAAATTTAAACAGCACCTTTAAATCTTTCGACTTTCTTCCTATCTCTTCAGAGTTTCCAAGCAGCCCTGCCAGGGTCAACTCCATGTTACGGATGGGGATAACTGAGGCTCCAGGACACCAAGAGCCTCACCCGAGGTTAGCTCAGCCAAAGGATCTGGAATCCTAGCAAATCGACTCCAAGCCGTGGTGCAGAGCCTACACAGGGGGTCTGGGGTCAGGGGCCATGGGTACTGGATAGAGTGATCTTCCAGCTCCAGCAGAGGCCCTGACCTTCGACCCACCTGAGGAGAAAGAGTAGAAAGCCCAAATCAGCTATCCCAGGTGGGTAGGTTTAGGTGCCAACCTTGGAAGAAGGTATGCATTCGCTCGTCCATTCAAACATTTAACAAGTATACTAAATACCCAGACATGAAGGCACACTGTGTAATGGCTCTATCAGGCACCAAGACTGGCAGAATGCATGAATGAAGGGGAAAGGTCAAAGCATCTTCTTCAAAGGTCACTTCCCCCAGAGACCTGAGTCACCTCATTTAGCCATTGCCAATACACTCTCATCTGCCCATTTTACAGAATAGGAAAATGAGGCCCTGAGAAGGGCAGTGACTTGCCAGAGGTCACAGAGAGAGGAGGCTGAGACCTCCTGACCCACAGTGGCTTTGCCTCCAGTTTATACAGCCACAAAATTATTGGGCTTAGGTATTTGAACACATGGTGTCCTTTCCAGCAGGCCACCTTGGAGGCTGAACACTTAATCAACAAGGACTTCTCACAGAGGGAAACTTTTTGGAAAGACCTTCTGAGCCAGTGTGGAACCTCCAAGGACAGACAGGCATGTCTTCTTTGCCCACAAAGAACACCAGGTGTGGCTGCTGGGCTCTCCTCTTGACTCCCCACCCTGCGGTTCTGTTTACAGAGCTGGCTGTGGGCCCTATCTCCACCCCACAGAGGGCCAGGGCAGTGTCACATCTCTGGGCCCACACACCCTCAACCCTGGACCCAGGGCAGTGGATGGTGGGTCACTCAGTGCCCTGAGTCAGTGCCCAGCACCCCTGCTTCCACTCCTACCCACATGCTCAGCAACCTCCATACCAACCTCACCTTACCCTTCCTCTCTCCTTTGCTCACCAGCTTCTTCCCCTGGAGAAAGAACCTCAGTCTCTCCCTTACTTAAAATAAAGCTGCCCCCACCACATTCCCATATAGGTATCTTGGAGCCTCAGTTATCCCCATCCATAACATGGAGTTGACCCTGGCAGGGCTGCTTGGAAACTCTGAAGAGATAGGAAGAAAGTTGAACCCACTTACTCCCAGGCCCATCTCACCCCACTTTTGCCAAAGCCACACCTGATTGCCAGTGACCTAAGTCAGGGGCCCCTCTCAGGCCAGATTCAGCCACTGGAGGCAGGGCCACTATGGGTCAGGAGGTCTCAGCCTCCTCTCTCTCTGTGACCTCTGCCCCATCTGACCCCATGGGCTACCCTTCGCTCCAGGTGCAGCCCCTCCTAACCCTCACTCCATAAAGCTCTCCTCCCCCAGAGTCCTAACCTCCTCCCCTCTCTGTAAATATCTGCCTCACAAATCATATCTCCAGGCTTAACCTTTGCACTCCTGGTTGTCCCCAAACCCCTCACACTCCACAGTCCGAAGCTCCCACAGCAGGGCCTGCTTTGGCACACAGCTGAAAAGCAGCACAGCTCCAGCCTGGCCTACAGCAGGGACTCAGCTATTCACTGAGTGAAGTATTTTGGTTAGCAGCTGCTTCCTTGCTGGTCTCAGAGGAGCTGGCCACCCACTGCCCTGTACAGCCACCCAGGTGGCCTTCCTAAAGGCCACTGAAAATTGACCACCACCTAAACCTCTGCTGTGGTTCCTTAACAAAGTGGGACAAAGTTCATGATCTCAAGCTGGCAGATGAGGCTGTTTCCATTTGCCGTTCCACAGGGCGGACACGGGTGCCCTTGAACATACTCTCACTGCACTCATCCTCAGCCCGAGGGCCCGTCGGCCACCACCCATGTGTTGTTCACCTTTGCACCCCAGTACTGGCACCCTGTAATGTTTCCTAAGCAGAAAGACAACTATTAGAGACAGAAATGATCTTGGGAACTACAGGGCTCAAAGCAACTCAGAGGCAACAACCACACCTGAGCTGCTATCCTTGGTCAGGAACCTGACAAATCCTCTGGAAACATCACCTAGAACCCCATAAGTATGCTTGCCAGAACCCCCAGCTGACTTTGAGGCTGGGCCCACTCTATGCAGCCCCAAATCCGAACCCGGCAGGTGAGCCAAGCCTGGCACATAGTAGGACCACAGCAAAAACAGCTGTTTGACTAAGTCAACCTCTTGCCAGGTGACAACTGCATCCATAAAACCAACATCCCTCTCTAGGCATTGTTCTCTTCATCTGTAGGATGGAGCTAACTAGCCCTACAAGTTTAAGGTACTTTGAGCTGGTCCCCCCAACCACATTCTTTGCAAACGAAGGGGGGGGGGCGGGTGGCGCTAAAGCAGCCAAATTCCAAGACCCGAGATCCACTGCTAGCCCAGCTGATTTTTATTAACCTCTGCCCAAACTACTGTATGGGAAAAAAAACCAAAAACCAAAAACCAGACCCTTCTCCCCCCATAGCCATTTGCATCAGAATTAGCAGGGAGGGCTTGTTAAATGATGATTCCAGACCGTGCCCCACCTGAGAGGTTTGGTAGGACTCTGAGCAGGGGCCCAGAATTCGCGTTTAAGGCAATCCTGAGAGATCCTGGGCAGAGTGAAACTGGAGAACCAAAGTTCCAAACTAGACCAGTCCTCTAGAAATGTCATCTAGAACACCACATGTATGCATGCCAGAGCCCCCAGCTGACCTTGAGGTTGAGCCCACTTCATGCAGGCCCAAAGGTGAACCCAGCAGGTTGACCAAGCCTGGCACACAGTAGGACCACAGCAAAACGGCCTTCGGGTACCCATGTGTTAAGGGTCAGACCTTATTTTGGGGAAATTCACATTTACCAGAAAAATCTGGGGAAAAGAGGATTTCTCTTACTCTAATAACATATAACTTAGTTCCTCCAAAGAACTAGCTTCCGGAAGAATTAAGAAAGACCAGCTTCCCGCAGCCCACCCCTTTTACTCTCTGGGACTTGGCACTTGCGTAAAGCGGTGCCCCAGTCACAGCGTCCAGCCCAGGTCCTCTCAACTCACCAAGGCCGCCCGGGGCTCCGCGGCTGCAGCGAGGACAGTGAGGAGCGGGAGTCAGAGCGCGGAAGGCGCCACTATGGGCAGGGTTGGCCAAGGGTCGGGGCGCATACCCCACTACTCACCCTCCTCAGCGGGGCCGAATGCCGGGACAGTCAGCTGCGGCGGAGCAGGAAGAGCTGGAGGCGGCGAAAGCCGGGCCCCTGCCGGGTTACACTTTAACTGGCGGCGCCAGCGCACCGCGCGCTCTCCGCGGCCAGGAGGGAAACCGTGGGCTGTTCAGACTCCGTCGGTTCGAGGCGGTGACCCGAGCGCCAGGCTGGCCGGCTGGCTCAGGCGGGCGGGGCGCGCGCAGCCCGAGGGCGTGAATGCAATAGTGCACCTGGCTTACTGCACGCACGTGTGCGCGGGGTCGGCGCTCGCGGCGGCTGCTTGTGCTGTGCCCGCGACGGCCCCGGAGCCGCTAGAACCTGGTCCATCCCTTGGAAACAGGCAGGCGAAGGCTCCTTCGCGGGCCCAGCCGGGGAAGAGGCGGCGGCGCCTGGGTGGCGCTTTGGGAGGTGGAGCCCGGAGGGGTGGCCGGAGGCTCCCAGATAAAAGGTCTGCGGGAGGGTAGCCGGGGTACCACGCGATGGGGGGCGATGACCTTGCGATGTCACTGATGTTGCTGAGTTTGGCCGCGCTGTGCTGGGGTGCCGTGTCCCCGGAGCCGGTAAGCCCCCGTTCATGCCCCTTTTCCGCGTTCCTGTCTCTCGAGCCTGGACCCAGACGGTGGCCGACCGGCAGCTCATGCCTATCCAAAGCTTTCGCAGAGGGCCATCCGGAGGGAGGATGTCTGCATCTTCTGAGGCAGCCCGGCTAGTCCAGGCGACACTGGGCTTCAGGCTTCTAGAGTCAGGGGCGTGGGAATCATACAGACCCAGGCTCAAATGCTAACGTGTGTTCTTAATTCAGTCATTTATGCTCATTGAGCCTCGGTGTCCTCATCTATAAAAGGAAGGGTAATACCTAACTCAACATAGTTTCTACGGAACAGAGACAGGGCCTGCAAAGGAGCAGCAAAGATCCTGGCACGTAGTAGGTGCTCAATATTGTTATTGCTTGGGTCTTGAGGTCTGCCCACCTTTTGGGGCACAAGAACTGCTTCTCCTTTACCACTCGTATTTTTGCCAGTGGTGATTCAGTCCTGTTCCAGGAATTGGTAAGCTCCTGAATGCTCCTTTTGAGTCTCCTTTTTTGCCTGGTAGACAGAAGGACTGAGGGAATCTTCTAGATCACTAACTAAGAAAAAGCTCATCTGCAAAATAGCTTTTGAAATTATATCCCTGCCCTTTTAGCACAGCAGGTAACATGAAAGCATTGTGGTTACTTTCGATGGTTATGGAAAGACAAACCCTATTCATGTGCCCTGATGTCTTCAGCTACTAACCTTGCCTTCTGTCTCAGTTTGTGGCCCTTAGCCTTTTCCACTAAGGGAAGAATTGTCTTTGCAGTAGTTGCCATCAGGGCAACACTTTGTAAAATTTAGAGCTGCTGCTTTGCTTCTTCCTAAAACTTGGATCGCCAGCCCTTTAACAGAACTCAGCTCCCAATATGGTGGCTTATTTGTTTAAAAAAATGTCTGATGATACACTGGGAGTTCAGCTTTAAAAAGACACAGGGGAACGACGATTTTGCCTAAATCTAGATAACTCAAACCATTAAAAGTCTTGCTTTCTGTCTTACAAGGTGTTAGGAGAGAGATCAGCGTCCAGAGCTGGTAGACTTATCATTACATTGAGTCTTATTACTAGTACTTGCTGCTGCATAAAAGTTAATATTCTAGGTCCAGTATTTTATTCCAAAACTGATTGTTTTTCTTGTAAAAAGATATGAGTAGCTAACTCCAAAGGATTTAGTACAGCTTTCTTGAACATCGATATGTATTTTTCTATTTTTAGCTCCTTTTAAAAAGATAACATGATGAAATTACAGTTGCTTTATGATTTTATAAATAGCTCAGGTGAATCAGTCCTTTTGTATTAGAAGATGAATATTTTAAAGAAACTAGGGAAGGAACCATGAACTGCATTCATAGCTTTCTGCTGTTCATCTTCTTAGCACAGCCAGTCCTTAACCTGGGGAAAAAATATTCTAGACTGCCCTGAAAACCTACAGTTAAACATTAGAGTGTGAAAGGGTCTTCGTGATGGTTCAGAGTCAGCCCCTGCTTGTAGCAAGGAAAGCAGAGACCCAGGAAGAGGTGGAGACACATCTCTGGTCTATGAGGTGATAAGCAGGCTTACAGATCTTGTATACTGATTGCTAATCTGATTCATCATAAACTACCATGAGGCAGCTTAGTCTACCCCAAACTGTGAAGTGAAACCAGCTCAGCTTTTCTTTGCCACTTGTATATGCATTTAAGGGAAAAGATGGTATTTTTCACTAATTTGGCTGGTAGTTTGCTGGCATTCAGCATGACATTTGGTTTCTTTCTCTCTTGCAGACGATTCAGTGTGGCCCTGAAACTGGTAGGTGCACTAGGGAATGGGTATTTGGGGCTTTATACTAAAATTGAAAGCACAATTGGATTCAGTGGGCTTGAATCCAAGCAGTGGCTCCTTGGAGACTAGGCTAGGGTGAACCATCGCTTTGTTAGCTGATACATATGAAGCCTCTGTTGACCCAATACACAGCTCCTGGTGTTTCAGATGGGCTGGCTTCCTGGCTAGTAAAAGGGACATAGGCAGGGCAGGAATTGCTGTGCAAGGTAGAAAGTGAAGTCCACCACTCCTAGGAGGGAAATCAAGTACTGTGGGAGGGAGGTCACTTACAGTCAGGGACAGGAAGCAAATGTTTTAGAGAAGGAGTGTTTGAGATTGTAGCATTTGAAGAATTGGTGGACTTGTGCTCAAAAACGTGGATGAAGAGGGTGAGCTGGAGGAAAGATGGTACCAGCAAAGATAGGAGGTAGGAAGTGGGAGTTGTGTGAACCATTTGGCTGGAGTCCAGGCTGAGGACTGGAGAAGGCAGGACTGATCCTAATTAACATGTCAAATATACGAAATACATACACATATACATACACAGGCACCTGAAGTGGTCTCAGGTGCTCTGTAGGAGTGAGCCAAGAGGTTGAGCATCACCTTGGCTATAAATCAGTCAGCACTGAGAAATTTCTGTCCTGCTTTGGTAGGAAGAAGATATGAATTATGAATGAGGGTTGGATCAGGGTGGATCACTTAGAGGAGATGGCATCAAACTGGGCTAAGGAGGGGCAGGTCATGGGCAATCTCACCTTCTCCCAGGACCATCTCCAGAGTGGATGGTCAGACATACTCTGACCCCAGGGGACTTGAGAGACCTTCGAGTGGAACCTGTTAAAAGCAGTGTTGCATCAGAGGACTATTCAATTTTGATGAACATAAGCTGGATACTCCGTGCAGATGGTAAGTTTGTATCAATAAAAGTTAAGGCCTAAGTGTCTACTAAACAGAAATGTGCAGAATAAATGACCCATTAATTTCACTCCTAGGCAAATACTCAGCAGAATATATAAGTGTGTGTATATACAAAAACCATATATTAGAATATTTGTAGTAGCATTATTCATAACAGCCAAAATATAGAAAGCACTCAATTGCCTGACAGTAGAATTGGAATCACAAAATGGAATCCAATAAAGCAATGAGCATGAATAGTCTGTAACTATACACTATATGGTTGAACCTCACAAATGTGAGAAGCCAGATTCAAAAGAGTTCATACATTCATATCTGCATGCATGCCTACAGTCATACATACCATATGATTCCATTTTTAAAAATGCAAAACAAGCAAAACTAAACTAAGTGGTTGGAAATCAGGGCAGTGGTTACTTTGGGGTGGGAGTGACTGAATGGAAGCGTGAGGGGCACTCTTGGGGATGTTTCTCCACCTGGGTACTGCCTACATAAGTGGGAACAATCATTGAGTGGTACACTTCTGATCCGTGTACTTCTCTGTATGTAATGTTATACCTCATGAAAGACGACAGGGTAAGGCAAGAGATGATTCCTTCAAGTTTAAAGAAAGCAGTGGCTTAGGTAGATTACTTTTCCACCTTTCAAATGGCATTGTGGAAGTCCTGGCATTCCCCCAAGGCAGATTTTGAGTTCTTTTAATGAACCAATTCTGGGGTCCTAAAGCCCATGTTGGTGGTTTCCACCCACTAAATTTAGTTAAATTCCATCTGGTCAGGAATCCAGGAGTGCCATTCACTACAGACAGACACAAGGACAGTGTCAGGGGAATCCTGGAAGGAGCTATGCTCTACGCGAGTGAGATGGAGGCAGGGAGGAGCAGGAGAGGCCCCTGGCGAAACCACTTTAAATTATAGGATTCAGTTAGGCATTTGGCCCCATACCTAGCAGAGAGTGTGAGCTCTTGTATTTGTTAGGTGTTGTTATAGACATAAGTTGGGCCTTGAAGGAGTAAGCCCTGGAGCGGCAGAGAAGAGAAAGAAAGGGCATTCCAGGGAGAAGAATCAGCATAGATACATACATAGATACAGCAGGATAGAAGTGCAGTCAGATAGAAGGGCATTCCAGGGAGAAGAATCAGCATAGATACATACATAGATACAGCAGGATAGAAGTGCAGTCAGAACAGGCATGGTTTGGTGATGACACTCGGAAGGGCTTTTTCTTCTCAAGAGACCCAGAATAATGCAGAGCTAGAATCACCTTTGCAGGTATCCTATGAAATTCAGGATTACCTGTGAGGAGGAAGGAGCTTGGGCTTTGGAACTTGAATCCATATTCTGCCCCTGATGAGCTTTGTAAGATTTGGCAATGCTCCATGAAATTCCATGAGTCTCACTCACCCCATTAGTAAACTGGGGATAGTAATGGTGCTTATTAGGGCTGTTGTGAATATGAAATGAGACGAGGCATGTAAACTCTCCAGCATCAAGCTGGTAACATAGTGGGTGCTAAATAAACAACTACTTTCTTGTCTTTCTTGGTAGCCAGCATCCGCTTGTTGAAGGCCACCAAGATCTGTGTGACAGGCAAAAGTGGCTTCCAGTCCTACGGCTGCGTGAGGTGCAATTACACAGAGGTATTCCAGACTCAGAGCAGACCCTCCGGTGGCAAAGTAAGCACTTCGAGGAACTTGGCTAATTGTCCTTAAACTAGGGTAGGCCCTTTGCTTCGGGAGTATGGATGATGTGCTGCACACACAGGCTGGTGAGCAGCTACAACTTCAAGCTTAGAGCACGATGCCTGGGAATCAAAGCCCATCTCTAGCCACTTCTCTGCTGTGTGTCTTGGGCAAGTCAGCATCTCTCGGCCTCAGTTTCCCCATCAGCAAAGTGAGGGGAGCTGAACTTAAATTATATCCTGGCTCTAAAATTTTACTTCTCTGACTCTTTGAGTTACACTGAAAAACTGTGTGGGGTCCATTCCCTAAACAGACATTGGCTAGAGACAAGTTTCTGCAGTAGGTTGAGGAATGAAATTATGAATGAAAAGCGCAACACAAAGGTACTCCATTTCTGCATTGCAGCAATTCAGGGTTTCCTTGCTTTGCCTTTCAGTGGATGTTTTTCTACATTGGTTTTCCTGTAGAGCTGAATACACTCTATTTTATTGGGGCCCATAATATCCCCAATGCAAATATGAATGAGGACAGCCCCTCCATGTCTGTGAATTTCACCTCACCAGGTAAACTTCCTTTTATTCTGTTTTGCTGGGATGCTCACTCTGGGGTGTGTGCTTTGGTACAGAGAGGCCTGGGTACCCTGGACAAGGCATTTGGCCTTGCTGAGTCTTAGTTTCCTCATCTGGAATACAGACACAATAGTAACTGCACCTCAATCACAGAGTTGAAGAACGGTAAAATTAGGGAGAATCCCATTTCTGTGTGTCAGGCACTGTGCTGAGCACTTGACATGCATTATTTCACTTGAGCCTCCAGCAACTCTGGGATTGGGACAGCCCTCTTTTACAGATGAAGAAATTGAGAGCTTAAGTAACTTGGCCTGGGTTATACACATAGTAAAAATAAAGCTGATGTTCAAACTCTGGTCCTTCTTGGTCAATGCACTCTAGCTACTCTTTGTCATTGATGCAAAACATCTGTTCCAGTCTTGGGTTTCTAGCATGCCGTGTTGTTTGACAGCATGCTGCTGGGTCTCTGAGGATATATGGACATCAGTAGGCTTGTCCCCTGAGCTGTCGGTGAGAGGCAGGGTGAAATTGAATTGAATGCTGGGTTCTTTCCTCTGCTCTAACATATGATCAGCTCTGTAGTATCACACCTGCAATGTCACACACGGGCTGCAGTGAGGATGAGACAGGATCATGTGTGAAGGGTCCAGCATGGTGTCTGGCTGCAGCAGTTCCTATGCCATGCCCATCAGGGATGGACCACCTGTTTTATACTCCACTCTTGTCTTCTGTCATAGGCGAAGCATTGAAGCTAAATGGGGGTAATTTCCAATGGCTGTTCTTTGAGGTTTTGGTCCAGGGTGTTCTTGGTGCCATACCATTAACTATACAGTAGTTTCCAGCTTTCTTGATGAGACCAGACCTCATTTTAAAAAATATAAAGGTTTTTATTTTGGAATTATTGTAGATTTATAGGAAAGTTGCAAAGATAGTACGAAGAGTTTCCACATACCTCTCAGTTTCCCTTATCGTTAACATCTTATATTACCATGGTGCATTTGTTACAGCTAAGAAACCAATATTTGCACATTTCTATTAACTAAGCTCCAGACTATATTTGGATTTTACCCGCCTTTCCATTAATGTCTTTTTTTCTGTTCCAGTTGCATTTTGTCTCTTGTGTCTCCTTAGTCTCCTCTGGTTTATGACAGTTTAGTTTTGATTTGTTCTTCATGAGCTCAACAGTCTTGAGGAGTACTGGCCAGGCATCCTGTGGAATGTCCCCCAATCCTGGGTGGGTGGGTGTAATCCACACTATACACATCATTGGTGATGTTGACCTTTATCACTTGGTTAAGTGTCATCTGACTGGCTTCTCTACGTAAATTATTTTCCCCTTCCCAAGTTTAGTTTTGGAAACAAGTCACTAAGTCTACCCTACTCTGGGGTGGGAGTGCAGGGGTAGATTAAGCTCTACCTCCTGGAAGAGGCAGTATTTACACGTTATTAAACCTTATTTTTAAAGGGTGGTTTGAATCTTCTCCTGGGGATCATAGACAGTTTTAACAAAAGCTGTATTTAAATCAGACTGATTATCACTTTCATGTGTAGATAATCTTCTGTTTAACAGTAAAATGTCAGTGTCCTATTTAAATTTGCTATCTTATCTCACATCTTGAATCCTCCGGCATTTTGTTATGGGTGTGGTAAGCATATATGTGTGCATTTACTGGTGGGGTGGGTGGTGGGTGGTGGGAGGAGCAGAGATACCTTTTCTAAAATGTAAAAATTTTCATTCAAATTTCCAGGCTGCCTAGACCATGTAATGAAATACAAAAAAAAGTGCATTGAGGCGGGTAAGTAAATACAGCATTTGCTTTCGTTATTAGAAGAAACTCAGACTTGAGCAGGCACAGCTCAATCCATCTTGCATGAAGAAACTGACGCTGTGAGCAGGGGAGTTATGTATCCAAGTTGTTCGGACAGTGAAGGCTGATGCCTGGCCAGTGCTATGCCCACCGAATCAAGCAGCCTGAGAACTCTTACAGTAGGTTTATGTAGTGAGCAACAGTCACAGAAAAATGCCCCACCCCAATTTTAGCCTAAACTGCATTTACAGTGGCGCCAACTGAAGGCCTTTCATGTTTGGGGGGAAATCTGCAAGTCCTTCCATCTGCTCAGTTACCACCAGTACCACTGACCTGTGGCCACAGAGACCCTCAGAACCTTCTGTTTGGATTAGCAAACATTCAAGGTGAGAGTGTTAGCTAAAGTAATGACCTAGAAGCATGTGTCTTACAGGGGTCATCTCTCATATGCTGGACTACTAGAACCTGCCCTTACCCTTTGAATTTTGAAATCAGCCTCTTCAGGAAAAATGATCCCAAGTGTCCAATTTCCGAGGATTTTACAAGGACTTGTGTAAATTTCTGGGCAATATAATCATAGGATGCTAAAGAGGCTAGTGGTATTGGAAAGAATCTGCCCCTATCTTTTAGGCACCCCTGTGTACCCTGTCAGATTGAGCTGCATGCAGTCTGCTTGTTGGAAAGCAGACTTAGAGCACTGTGCTTCCTCTCCTGCCTCCCGCTGAGAGGGTCTGGAGTATGGAGGGCAGGGGGGTATGAGGGAGTCTGAGGGCCTTCGATCAGTCCTAAAGCTGAACTCCTAAGGAGCATTTGAACTAGGGCCTGAAATAGTCTCCTTGATGGGGAAAATAATACATGCTATTATATATCAAGTTCCTGGAAATTAACCTAGTGCTGATTTGCAAGTCACATGAATTAAACTGTTTTTTTCTCAGAGTTAGACCTATCAGGGTATCCTTTAAGCTGTGAGGCATTTCCTTATTTCTTCACATTCAGGAAAGCTGGCATAATCGTCCAATGGATGAAGCTCCTGGAACCCAGAATGTTCTAGTAGTTGTAGTCCTGATCCTGAATTCACTTGCTCTATAATCTTAGACATGTCTCCTAACCTGTGGCTCCTTCGCCCCATCCTGGAAAGGAGAAAAGACTGACCCCAGCCCTTAACTTAGAATGGATGTTAAGAATAGAAGTGAGTAGTAGAACCCAACCTGTGCCTCCCACTGCCCTCAGCCCGGGGAAGCTATTTTAGCAAAGCAGTGATGTAGCGTCCTTAAACTTTCTTAGGCAGCTGCTACTTTGAGATTCTGGGAGCAATGATACATAAAAAGTACACTGTGTAGTAGAGTCCGTATCTCTTGGATGTGTGCCTGAGAACATATTTGTTTTTGTCAAGCCCTTTTGGGGACTTAAATGAGGGAAGAATTTACAACTTTTCCATGTGATTCTCTCTCGACTGATAGGTAGTCTGTGGGATCCAAACATCACTGCTTGTAAGAAGAATGAGAATATGGTAGAAGTGAATTTTACAATCAGTCCTCTTGGAAACAGATACATGGTTCTTATCCTAAAAAACACTGTAATTGGGACTTCTGTGTCAGAGGTACTTTCCCCCTCCATTTCCTTACCACCACCCCCACCCTCAACCTCCAGCTTTCCTTACCCTGTTGAAGAACAATGTGGACACTTTAGGATTCCCCAGACAGCCTCTCTTTTGAGAGAGCACCGGCAGGACTGTCTGCTGTACAAATGTGCTGGGCTATTTTGATTAATTCAACAGAAGAAAACAGGTCCCTGGGGCATCCCTGGAGATATCCCTTTGAATCTAGAACCAAACAAAAGTAGAGGATTCAGAAGTATGAAATGAGTCCTTTTTCATAGTCTAATGAACTGAAAGTCAGTTTGGGAGGAGTGTTTTCTTCATTGGCAGTCTTTGATCTGCTCATTCATATGGCCCATCATTCTTGATTTTGTTTCACTTATCACTACCAGGAAAAACTAACTCGAACTTCTGTCATGGTTCCAGTGACTGGGGAAAGTGAAGGTGCTGTGGTCCAGGTAAAGTTCAGTGTTGAGCTTTGGGGAGGGGAGGGCGCTAGAACACTGAGTTCTCCACCATTAATAGCTTTTGATGAGCCCTTTCAAAGTTGGAATGGGTAAGTTTCCTCCTCCGTTTTGCTTCTGCCAGCAGTCTCATATTAAATGATGTTAATGGGGAATCACAGTCTTGGCCTTCACAGTGGTGAAATCAGCAAACCGAACTTACAGTTATGGTCCTTTTCGCTTTTATTAATGACTGCTGACCTTCCAAAGTGCTTTTATTTCCATTTTCTGTCACAGAGCCTCACAGTAATTCTGAGACAGGCGTACTATTTTATTTCCCCAAGCCTCGGTTTTAACTGCAAAATGAAGTAACAAAAGATGTGAAATGCAAAGGCTTGGGTTCCACATTAGTGTGTGAACTTTGAAGGGCAACTGCCCGTCCTTTCAGGGCCCCAGTTTACTTAGATGAACTAGCAGAGGGAACCAGACTTTCCTAGTCCCAGGGGACTTATATGTCATATAGGATGACTTAATGGGAGCTCTACAGCTGAGGTTGGTTGGTTGGTTTGTTTGTTTTTGAGGAAATATTTGTATATAAGAATGTGACCTAACCCATTATGAAAGCTAACATGTTAGCAACATGTACAAAGTTTAGGTTCAGACCCCAGGAGACTTAGATGTTTCAGTCTCAGGTCACTGGTTTAGATTTTAGGACTTTGTTACAGAAGTGTGACCAAGGGGGAAGAATGTCCTATTACAAGGTATAGGTTAGGGGACAGGGTTCAAAGCAGAAAAAAAGGTAAGAGAAGTTTTGGTAGAAGTAGGAATAATGCTGAGATTTTGCTCTGAGGCGTGTTGGGAACTCTCTGAGCCTCTCATTTTTCCTTAGTTAACACCATATTTCCATACTTGTGGCAACGACTGCATCCGACGCAAAGGAATGGTGGTGCTCTGCCCACAAACAGGTGTCCCCTTCTCTCCGGATAACAGTAAGTGCCCAGTCATTTTCACAGGGGCAAAGAGGTTCAGGACATGAAGGGCCCACTGTCACCACCCATTTAATATTTGACGGGGTGTGTGTACACGGGGAGTGTGAGGGGAAGTCCCCGCCTGTGTATGTATGTTGAACTGTGGTGCAGGCAAAGATGTCAAAGCTGTCCCAGAGAGTCTGTAATTTGAATAAGAATGCTTCATTTCTAAAATCACTTCAAGGTCCTTTACCAAACATAAGAAGGGGGAAAAAATAAACTGCAAAATGGATGTTCGAAGTGCCACAAAGATCTGCTGAAAAAAGTTTGAGGACTGAGTGTACAAAGGAACATGTTCTTCACTGCATTTTGATTTTCTCATCGGCCTCAGTGGCCTAGCTGCTCCTATAACTTGACAGGGTCACATGGCCAACATTTGAATAACAAATTAGGAATACTGGCACCAAAAGATACTCCTCAATGATGTCTGAGAGCAGCATATTCTGGAAAATGTGTCTCTGGATTTAGAGATGTTGGTGCTTTTGTTACAGATAGACAAATAAAATGTTTGGGAACTAGCCCAGGAGTGGGGTCAAAACTTGGAAGGTGTCATTCTTAGAAGCTCAGGCAAACCAGTGACAATAACCTAGGTACCTAACAGTCCTGACTCTGTATGGGCACAGTGTTTCTGAGTTTGTGCACATCTGTGTGCCTGAGCTTATCTGATCCTCGACATTCCCGTGAGGGGGTGGCATTACCCCCACATTTTTAGTCTAATGGCCTTTAATAGCACACATAGCACATATCTACGTGTGCTATGTATTAAATAACTGCACCCAGAATAACATTAATTCACCAAAGAACAAAAAAAATGAACATAAACTCTGGTTACCACAGTGAAAATGCCTGCGTAAATATGGAGTAAGAAGCCAAAATGATTTTGGAGGACTGTTCAGAATTTCCTATGTCCTTTATCACTTTTGAGAATCTAATGAAAGATCTGGACACTCTGTAGAAAACAGACCATTCTGTAGACCCCTTAGAGATCTATGACCCTTGGTTTTAAAGGGATCTAAACTTCCTCAAAGCATAGGGTAAAAGCCTTAGTTATCAAATAGAAGGTAATTTGGTTGTTTTGCTGAAGGTGAATAAGCTTTGTTTCTCCAGGCAAAAGCATATTGAGTGGATGGCTACCTCTTCTGGCTCTGCTGGTGGCCACATGGGTGCTGGTGCTTGGGATCTGTCTAACATGGAGGCGTGGTAAGGGTTATAATGCACTTCTTTCAAACTTGAGCGAGGAAATAATACTTTGAATTTTTTTTGAGGCAATTCCTCTAGAGACAATCGCATTGGCCTTAGACAGGAGTCAGACGGCACCGATTTAATGCTTTAGCACTCTCACCAAAAGACTGATATAATTAATGACTAGATCACGTCTGCTAAGAAGCAGGGATCAAGACCTCCAGATTTGGTGACTATGACCTATTTTGTTTTTACCATTGAGGCATCTAAAAGTACTGAAATAGGCAAAAGATAGTTTAATAACGAATTACATTGTACCTGTGATACTCTATGCTAGTAGGAACCAACTTAAAAATATTCTGAGAGCATAAGAACAAATCACTTGGATTCATGTACTCTAAGGACCTTGCCAACTCTATAACATTGATGATTTGAATTTAGAAACTAGAGTATTTATATAGACACAGTTAGAGGATGGCACACTGAAAACCTCTGCTTTTCTCCACATGGAGGAAAGGAAATAGAGATGCAGTCATCTGTTGTCATTGATAGAACAAGATTAATCTCATGCTCTAAGCTAAAAATGCATGGGGAACTGTGAGCCTGGAAGTACTTACATTTAGAAGATGTTGTTTGGCTTCTATTAATTACAGTACTTTTATAGGTAGTTTCTGATCTATAGCACATATAGGACAGCATTCCAGTTAAGTTTCAGCTGAAATGGGGTACCACTGAAACTTATGGAGCTATGAAGAAACTCTACCACCTGCAGGTAGTAGATGGAACAACTACTGAGTTGACCCAACTCAAAACATGTCAGAAGTTGTTCCTGTTTATATATGGCACTGAAAATACTAAAGTTACAATCCAACTGAGTACTTTAAACCTAAATAGTTTCTATGAATTTACTTGAAAAGATATGGCTTGATTAGGAGAACTGACTTAGTGATGAGGATTTATATAGCTTTTACATCATCTTTAAAGTGAAAGCCTGCCATTTGCTGTTCATAGATAACAAATGCTTTTCTCCCCCTACAGAAAAGATCAAGATGTCCCTTTCTTCTACCATGTTACTGCCCATTACGGTTCTTGTGGTTTACCCATCTGAAATATGTTTCCATCACACGGTTTGTTACTTCGCTGAATTTCTTCAAAACCACTGCAGAAGTCAGGTTATCCTTGACAAGTGGCAGAAAAAGAAAATTGCCGAGATGGGTCCAGTGCAGTGGCTTACCACTCAGAAGAAAGCGGCAGATAAAGTCATTTTCCTTCTTTCCAATGATGTCAACACCATCTGTGATGGTACCTGTGGCAAGAGTGAGGGCAGCCCCTGTGAGAACTCCCAAGACCTGTTCCCCCTTGCTTTTAACCTCTTTTGCAGTGATCTAAGAAGCCAGACTCATCAGCACAAATACATAGTGGTCTATTTTAGAGAGGCTGATACCAAAGATGATTACAATGCGCTCAACGTCTGCCCCAAGTACTGCCTCATGAAGGATGCTACCTCTTTTTGCATGGAACTCCTCCATGTCGAGCAGCAAGTGTCAACGGGCAAAAGGTTACGAGCCTGCCACAACAGATGCTCCTCCCTGTAGCCTACCCATGAGAAGCGAGAGAACTTGATGCCTTCCTACTGCCTCTAATTACAGGGGGGAAAACCATCTGTGATGACTCTGAAGTTTACTTGTAGGGAGGATTATATGTATATACCTGCTTTAGTAATATGAATAACTGAACACATAAGTTTTAGTCTAGTAATTAAAATTTTTATGCCAATAAAATTGTTACAAAGATTATTAACTACTGTAGCATTAACTAAAGAATGAAAACTATAAGGCTAAGTCAATTTCATACCTAAAAATCAAGAATAATTATAATGTAAAACCTTAACTAGTCTGACAATGCAATGATAAAGCATTTTCCAGCTGAACATCAAGTCTTGAATAGTCCGTGCCCTGGTTTTCTTTTCCCAAGCCCACCCTAGAGTATATCCAAAGCCAGCCAGCCCAGCCTTAAATCTCTGCCTCTGCAAATTTTTTTTTTAAATCTCTTTTGTAATCCGACAGAAAATGAAAAAGCAAAACAAAACTTTTTTTTCCTGTTTGAAATTCCAAGAGTACACACGAGTCACATCATATGTGCTTGTTGTTCTAGACAATAGGGAAAATGTCATGCCCATACAATTCTTTTCATAATACAGGTCCACAAGTCACATGCTCACCACTTATGGCCTGATGACACTCAGAAGTCAACTTAAATGAAGGGCTTCACCACCTGAGAACCACTCAACAGCACCATTTTACATCACTGAGGGGTTTCTGAGACCCTGAGAAAGGGGCAGGAGAGCTTACCGCATTTATTCTCAAATGTCTTGACGACAAAGCAGCATATAATTTCACACCAATGTCATGTCCTCAATATAAAAGTTGAAAATTCATTTATTTTCCATGAAACTTAAGCATCTAGGTCAATAAATTAAAATACATATATTCTGTAAGAGTCTTTTTATACCAAGGCTTGTTTTGGGTCTTCCCCAGTGACTTCTCCCATTTCACCATACAAAAGCAGCTCGCTCACGCAACATGCGGACACCGAAACGCTGCCATTCTCGCTGATAGACCCACAGTTCCTGTGTCGTGTCCAAACAAGCCAGCACTGCCCCCCCTTTCCATGCAATCAGCCGGGGATCCATGTCCTAGAGAAGTGATAAAGATATGTCAGCACAAGCAAATAAAATGTACACTTAATCATTTTCTTGAATTTGGGGGTGGGGAAAAAACCCTACTGAGTCAATACCTGCATTAAGGACCCATGCAGGACCCATGGCATCTTTCTATTTCAACTGACAAGAAAACTTTTAGTTTTTATTTCTGAAGCTGCTACAAGTCACTTTTATTCCACAAATAGCCTTTAAGGTAGAACATATGTATTAGGAAGTAACTTATTTTGAAGTTCGAGTAGAATAAATATATCTCGCAATCCCTCCCTCAGGATTAAAATTAAATAAGAACATTCCCAGGAATTGTCAGTGAGATACGATGAAATATGGGCACAATCTGTTTTTAAATTCTTACGTTTATATTTCTTTTCAAGATAGTTCAAGCCTACAAGATCCTTAAAGATCACCTGGCCTAGGGACCAGCAGCAGATCCTCAATATGAGAGATGACGGAGTTGTGCTTACTGACAGTGAGTGTTCTCCTTGCTCCACCATCCTTTTACAAAGGGAGAGGTCAGTCCTGCTAGTTCTGGAAAGCATAGCAGGGACTAAAACCCAGGAATCCAGTCCCCAGGTCCAGAGCTCCTTTCACATATATGACGTGCTATTAATTTTTCCACTTGCCCCAAACCCTCAAGAACTCCCCAGACACAAACCCACAACTTCCAAAATTTTATCTGTCCACATACACTACAATTAGAAATAATCAATGCTGGTTTCATTTACATACAGTCTAACTTGTACCATGAACAACATACCTTAGGTCTTGTGATCACTTCCACATTTTCAATAATTCGCCTGAATGAAGGTGGCATTTTATTGAGAATTCTGTGCTGCAGAAATTCTTGAGCTTTATGAAACATCAAACCACCTCCCACCACCAGGATGGAGCTGTACATCTTCTTTTTGGTATCATCGGATGCTGAAAAGACAGTGATATCCCTTCCACACTTTTTCTCCATATCTACGACCACTCTAGGCCAAACCACCACCATCTCTTGCACAAGTGCAAGAGCCTTCTCAAAGATCTCTCTCCAACCCAATCTCAACAACACAGCAAGAAGAACCTTGCAAAACACAAATGTGAGCATGTTGCTGCACCTGCCCCACTGCTTGGAGCATCAGGAACAAATTCTCTAAGAGGGCCTAAAATTCCAACATGGCATGTCCTCACTTCTCTAGCCTCATCCTAACCACAATGGCCTTCAACAGGCTTTTTCCTTCGCCTAGAATGCCAGTCCATCTGTGACTGGCTAACCCCCATTCATCACCCAGATCTCTTTCAAGTGGCTTTTCCTTAAGGAAGTCTTCCCTGACTCCCACCCTCCACACATTCCATTACTGAGTAAAAATCCTTTATTAAATCCTTCAATCAGAAGCTCTCCGTCAGTGCCCTTTTGTTTAATTTTGTTGCACCTGCCATAGATGTAATTTCACATTTGTGTGATAATCTGACTTATTTCGGTCTCCTCCAACAAGGCCAGGAACCAATTCTCAACACCTGACAATGCAAGCACAATGTAGGTGCTCCATTGTTTTTGAATAAATATGCTAAGCTAAACTGTGCAACTACACCTTTGCTTGAACCAGTTCATTCAATTGCTATCTTCCGGCCTCCCCAAATGTGCTTACAACAGCAGTCTATGCTATGAAGGATGGCTTTATCCAGGCCCAGGGCTTTCCCTTCAAACAGCGAGATGGCAGTCTTCCTGGACATCAGTGCGGTGAGGGCCTCCTCAGAATCATTGCCAGCCATCAGACAGTCTCCCTGGGAGGATCCCAAATCCATGTCCTGGGAATGGAGTCTTTCTGGAAGATCAGAGGACTGGCCACGAAGATCCCCTTCAAATCCAATGGGTTTGGATGCGGACTTTCGGTCAGCAGTAGCTTTGGCAGACTTTAAATCAATGAAAAACACCATCAAGTAGATGGTATGACTACAACAGAACACTGTTGATATTCTCCAGTTAGATTCCAAACAACTGTGTCCCCCAACTGCTATACACTACTATAAAACGAAGGTCTGTTCCAGTGGTTGGTGCAAAGAAGAAATAGACCATGGTCTACAACCAACTGGCTGGTACCCACTCCCGGATAACCTGAGAAATGAGAGGTGGTGTACATAAGATGAGAATGTGCGGCCAATTCCAAAACAGTCACTGGCAGGTATGGTGGGTCTCAGATCTTTACTATTATTGTTCAGATTTTAAAATTGTGATGTCAGTGTGGACGAGACTTTCCCCGCCTTGAACTGAATTTTTAAGTGGAGTATTTCAGTGGAATTCTTGGGCTGGTGACAGTTATGGAATCCTCATTTTCAGACCAGAACTAACTACCTCATGCTCACCTGTGGGACACGAATAAAGACTAGAAAAGGTTTATAGCTCTCTTCTCTCCACCATGAGCTGCTGTTTTGTTAGCAGATAATAGCTTTACTCTGTGCCTCTGCATCATACATCCAATTACTGGAGTCAGCTTTGGACAAAGGAATTCAGCTTTCTGCCTATGCCACACACTTCTCACACATTATAATTAAATAGCTGAGAGAATACTACAAAAACTGAAAAGTAGATCATGTAAATAATATAACCAGAAGGAAAATAATTTCATTAAATTAACTTTAAAATGTATGGATTAGTTCTGTGAAAATTGGATTAATGTCTGAATAAAAAAACCTGTCATCCAGATTTTAAATTTAGACTTCACCTACAGTTCTAAAAACATTATAGCTTTAGTATGCTGTCAGACTGCAGTGACTACAATGATCCATTAATTATGGGTAAACTCCTCCTGAAGGACAAAACTGTCTCCTCTCACACCAGGATCACTACGAACCTGTTCTTGCTTGCTCTGGGTGGCCAGCAGGTAATGTTCATCATGAGGATCCTCAGGGTCACCCTGGGATCTGTGCTGCAGAGTTGTCATCTTTTGTCCAACGATTCCAAAAGTTGCTGGGTAAAACAAAGCCATTGGAGCCTGTGCATGGAAGGAAAAGGATAATCAACCCAGGATATTGCCTCTTGAAAAAAATTCACCCATTCAATTTTGATCTTCTAAAAACAAAATTAGATTAGATCCTAGAAGTTAGATTGGATAATGTTTTTTTGGGGGGAATAGCATTATTTCTTCAGTGTGAGACAGGCCGGAAAAGTTGCTTGTTATCCAATTGAATGCGTGATAGGGCATCAAAGAATCTCAAAGCAAAAGTAAAGTAAATACCTAATAATCTCATTTATAATTACCTAATAAGAATGATGCCTTTCTCTCTAAATAATAAATCACATAGTGGCTCATTAAAAAGATGGTCCTCAGATCTGTTCCAATTTGGCTTAGTGAATAATCTACAACCAGTTGACATTCTAACCTTATGAGGTTTACACCTAGTGCATCTTCTCTGTCTGACTGAGCTTGGCTGGCTTTCTTTCTACACAGGAAAATATATACTCATATGTTACCTGGAGTTTTTCATCTCCTAATCGAAACTGGTAAAGTAGAGCAGGGGAATCTGGATGTCGAATCTGAAACTCATGGTCTTGAAGTCCAGAGATGTCCTAATTCCAGGAAAAGATGCTGTCAGTGAATTAGTAAAAGTGCATGTAAACTCCTCAAATTACAATGAAGCCTCTGAACCATCTAAACCTTACCTATAAAAAGGCTGCCCTACAACTTTCTACCACTCTCACAGGAGCTAAATAAAACAAGACCTCAATGGTGGTAACTTGCTTTTCTTTTAACATTTGTAAAATTTCCACCATCTGCATTTTTTGTTTTCTTTATTTCTGATAAACAATAATACAATGACCTAAATCAAGAAGCAAATGCCCTCAATAACTGAGGAATGTTACCTAGTCTTATGTTCCTCAAATTTTTTATTCAGAATTACATTACTTGAAAAAGGTGGGGAAAAGGGTCTAAAACAAAGAGTATAAAAAGGTAGGAATCCATACATAGCAATGATTAAATGCTGACTGGTAATAATACTAAGAAAGTGCTTCAAGTGGAGCCATTTTATTAAATATCTGTACCTATATATTTACCTATTCATTACACCTAAAGGTTTATCTTCATCCTTTATCAGAATGATCACAAGGCCTATAGAGATATCTTCTAAACTCTCTTTCTTAAAAAAACAAAAACAAAAAACAAGCTGTTTTCCAGAGCCAGGGACACCTCCTCACAGCTCTGACCTTACCAAAAACTCTCACTCCTTACAGGCTTCAGCTTCAAGGCTTTTATCAACTTAAGTTGAAATAGTAGCACAGTATTGTTAGTTTTAATTGCCTTTTAAATATTTGAATTTTTTCCTGAAAACGAAAATAATCATCAGTTTAGATTTTGCCCCTACCTGATCTAAATGACAAAAAGTTTCTTTTAGGTGCTGCAAAAGGAGGCAATCCATTTTATTTGTTAACTGGCATTCTCTGTAGGGGAATCCAGCTCGCTGCATCAGCCAGTAAAAACATCTTGATACATCAGATCCCCCATAAGCCAGACAGAGCCTAGAGTTAAGAGAAAAGGGCAGATGAGTAATCCGTCAGTTAAAAAGGTACAAAGAATAATGCAAGAACTCAGTTAGGCAAGGTGAAACACACCAAGTGTCAAGAAATGTTTGCTGCAGGAATAAATTAAAGAATGAAAGAACAGATGGATAGATAGGCTGGAGAGAGGGAACTCTAGAAAAAAAACAGTGGTGGGGCACCTAGAAGCAGTCATGCTGTTTGCAAAAAGTATCCAAAAAACAGAAAATACACTATTAAATCCAGCTCATTTCCAAGCCAATACATTTACCATTTGATAGCTGTCTGCCTATGCATATTTATCAGCATATAAAGATGGCAGGCACTGACACAATAAGACAAACTTAGGGAGAAATCTTAGAGAATACTATCTACTAACTCAACTTGTCTACAATTTGGAAATACCACTGCTACATTATTTTAGCAGTTGGGAGACTTGAACTCAGTGTTTTCTCCATACCTTGAGAACCACTGACATTAGACAATATAACAATAGATGAGCCAAATTAACTCATACTGGGTTTTAGAATGCATTGTGACTTGGGGTGGGAGGCAACAGGTAACTTTTCTCATGGACTGCTTAGGCCCTCTTTTAAATGTTTCTATACCTTGAGATTCAAACTACTTTATGTAAAGGACAAGAAAAATAAAAGCATTCTGAAAAAGCCATCCTGGGAGCACAAAATCCTGCAGAGAACCCATATGTGCACTACCTGAGTGTGTTTACCTGTGCTGGGCTTGTCTCAGGAAGGACAAGCAGCAAACCTGTTCCCAATAGTTATTTTATTAACTCTTGTATCAGGAATGACTACCGTATCTTGACCACCATAAAGCTACTCATCATTCAGTGAACATCATTTATGACAAGGAAAACAAATATTCAAAAGGCTAGCTAGCTAAAGAACACAAACTTGAAAATCTATTTTCTCCTATATGACTTGCCTAAATAAAGCTTTGCTGTGAGTGTGGTTGGCTGGTATCTTTAGGCCAGACCACAGCAAAAGACAAAGAGCTACCATATACGCTTCCTCAATGGGAAAGCACGTAACACATAGCTGCTGACATGAACTCATATTAGAGAGTTCCAAAGGGAAGGATAGAATCATTTGTTTATAGCCTTGCTAGAATCTGTGCTTCTACAATCTTCTGGTTTCCTATGCAAAATTTGAATATATAATTCCTTATAAATAATTTCTAACTTGTGATACTTTACAATTGAGCAGACTGTGAGGGAAAAGGAGTGGAGAATGCCACCTCCCAAGTTCCTTACCGAGTGTTCCGATGAGAGACCCCATCCTCCACACAGCACACACTTGTCTTCTGGTCCCCAACATCTACAATACATGTGCTGCTTAAACCACTTCCAAAGGTGGCACACACAGACTCCTGATGGACCACAATCCCTAAAAGACAGAAGACAGAGGAGTGATCTGCTGGGGAGTAGTAACACTCCTAAGGCAAATAATCAACTAAAGTCTAAGAATCTCTAGGCAAATGTTCAAGCATTTTAATAAAGCAGTGAATTGGATTAACTTTGGCAGTAAAAAAGAAAAAGATTCTTATTTCAAGTAGGTTTCACCGGACTATCAGACATACCTGAAAAACCCATCTTCATAAGGATCATATTCACTAATTCTTTCACATGTTGTTTATTATAGATATCAGGAATTAACAAGATACATCTGTAATACTAAAAAGAACAAAGAAAAAAAGATTAAGTGGTTAACACTAAAGTCGGGTCAAAATAAATTTACCACACTTGTCTTCAGGGAGGATTCTCTCTAAAGGAGTAACAGCAATGGTCAGAGGCCCAAAAGTTCAAACCTCTCTGCTATCTTTTGAGTTTTATTAAAAACGACAACGACAACAACGACGACAACGACAAAAAAAAAACCCACAGAAAATGTTGAAGTATTTTTTCTTTGAATTACTTAAACTTTGTGATTTAAAAAACAAGATAAGTGGTATGTCTGAAAAAGGTCGAGAGCAGGCATAAACATAAGCAAGCTTGCTGCCTGCGGAGCAATAAACAGACATCAAAGAAACAAACAGAATAAGAAAAATTGAAAGCACTTAAAGGGGAATTCAGTGAAGATATCCTCCACACCTTAAGGCAGAGAATGTTTCAAGGACATTGTATTACAAACAACTCAGTAATGTTTACTTTTATTGACCAAGAATCTTTAAGGCAATGCAAGTACCTGGGAATATGAGCTCACCTTTAAATCTTTCAGCGGAATTTCCAAGTATTTTTGAATTGCATGAGACCATATTACTTCAATATCTGCTAGAACAGCTGTAAGGGAGCCCCCAGGCCCTGGGTGAATATTTAACTGACCTCTTCTAATAGGCCAGTGAATATTGTAACAATCCAATGGATTAACATACAGGGCCTAGGAAAGATAGGAAGATGAACACATTGTTAACTCTCAGGATTTTCTGAATTCACATTGGAAAGTGTAAGGCTAGAAAACATAAACATTTGCTGAATGTTCTAAATGTTGAGAATAGATTATTTAACACTTCAAGAGCCAGTGTGACTATCTGGTCTTTAAAGTAGGATTATGGAATGCTAAGGAAACAATAACTGGATGGCAAAGTAAATGAATTTTAGCACTAGGATCAGGTTTTCTTCTTCCATTTCAGTATAGTGTCCTACCTCTTCTCCTACCAAAAACTCAGGATGATGAGATGTGTTTGTCCACTTATTTCCAGAACAGTGGTCTAAAATTGCAGGTCGCATCTGCTTGTTGTAGGAGCGTGCCTGAAATGAAAGTGCACCAGAAAATTCTCTGAATTTTATGCAAGAAGAAAAAGGGGTGAGTGTAGTATGAGTCCTCTTTTCTCTTCTCTCTCACAGACCAGATACAGTAGCAAATTTTAATCACAAATCCAAAATATCTGGCAAAATATTGACTGGTTACAAAAGGAGTCTCTTGTCCTTTTCCACAATCTTGATTTTTCCTGTGATTATTAACACCTATGCTGTGACTCACAGCCAGTCCAAAATTAATACTGCACTCTGCCTAAAGTTGAATACAAATTTATATATCATACTGACTTAGATCCATTCATAATAGTATTGGTTTATCATATTAAAATAACAAATGTGTTAAGAATACAGCTTCTCACCAAGATCCTAGAATTATATACTTAAGACTCTGTAAATTTCCATCAACTTGCAGTAAGAAACACCACCTTAAAAATTATTTCTTGCCTAAGCATTTGTGACACTAAATCAGGTATTCCATAGGTGGTTATGAATAGTTTTTCTTCCTAATTAGAGGAAATCCCATCTTGCACTTGCATAATGAAATAGGGAGAACAGATGAATGGCATTATGATGTAATAGCTGTGCTAAAAGAATAAATCTGAAGAGTTGAGACTGGACCTGTTCAGGGGACACAGGAATCCGTCTTGTACCATTTGACATCTTTTTAGACCATATTGCTTGATCCACCATTTTAAGTCCATTTTGTCTCTGTTCATTACTTTCAGGTTTCTAGGAAAAAAGAATGAAAGATGAGCAGTACAAAGGATTTAGTTAAAAAAGGAAGGCAATCTAGCAAATTATTAATTTAATGCAGCAATGAAAAATGCTCTTGTCAATAAGTAGCATTTCCTTAATCTGTCATACGTATTAATCTTCAGAATTCAAAGTAATCTTTTTATTATTAAAGTAATAAAAGAACCCTCACTATAAACTACTGTAAAAATCTGTAACTTTGAGTGACTTTGGGTTGATAAAAAATTTTATAGCACTAATCAGAGCATAGCTACTTTACATTTACAAAGTATTTCAGAGACTCTCCCATGTATATATATAATGCTCATGTTTATGATTTTGTAACAATGTTACATTCCTTCATGTGGTATTCTGCTTAATCAAGTATTTATGTTATTGTGATATTGTAAAGAACATATCCATAAATGTTTTGTAGAAATGTTACTTTTTCTTTCAATTTTTTTACTCCTGAAATTCATTCCCCAAAGTAGAATTATAAGATCCAAAGATACAAATAAATTTTAAACTCTTATACAATTAATTTATATTTAAGCTTAGAAATAAACTTTAAGTATAGTCTGCTGGTTATGCTAAAAACTGGAACCCTAAGGCTTACTATCAGAATCACAGAAACTACAACTGTCTTTGATTTAAAACTTAAAAGTGGATTACAATGTAATATACATATTTAACACTTTCTCCTGATAATAACCATTTGAAAAATAGAATAAAGTAAATATTAACTGTAAGGAAATACATTTTTTGCCTTTAAATTATGATTTGACCTAAGATTGTAGTGTTTATTGTAGTAATTCAATTTACTGATGAATTGAAAATGTGAGCTCAATTTAAACTCTAAGTATCTGGAAGAAATAAGACAGCAATCAGTTAAAAGAGACCTGAATGCATCATTTTAAGTGAGTGACAATTCTGTATCTTCCATTAAAGATCACCTTCATCAATATGCAATTCATCTTCATGGGTTAAAAAAAAATTGGATTTACTTTTTTTTATAATGATTTCTTTACAATCTAAAATTGCTAGCTCAGATGAAAAATATTTGTAAAAATGAATGATGCTATTAGTTTAAAACACATTAAAGCTATGAAGATGTTTATTCAAGATTACTACGTAAATTGAATGTCTAAACCCTCCGATGGAAACAACTTTGGGCTTTCTCTCCAAGTCTTCCATTTCTGACTCACATTTAGTCCCTCTCTTAAGAGCCAGTTGTCCTTGTATAGGGGCTGCCCTTGTTGTTTGTGTCTTCGTGCAATGACATGTGGAATGCTGGCAGGGAGTGTGTCTGTGGCTCGACCAATCCTTAAAGTTGTCGATCCTGGATGTATAACAACAATGAAGTTGCTCTGGATTTGCTGCAAATACAAAAATAGGAGTGTGACCTTAGAAAGTAATATGCAGGTAATGAGTTAAATAACATAGGTAACAGTCTAGACTAAGAAGTTAGTTTCCTGTAATGACTATTAGACTCAAAGGTATCGAATAATTCAGTAAAGGGAGTCTTTTGAGAGGCATTCAATTACTGCTCTCTGCCTGAACACAAATTCGTTTTGTATCTCCATGTTCCTAGAATCTGACTCACAGTACATAGCCCAACAAATACTTATTTAAATAGATGGAACCATAATTATCCAATGGGGCATTTCCGTCCCAGGCACTATGGGTACAATGGTGACTAAGAAAAAGTCCCAACCATCAGAGAATTTTCTGTTTATTATGGAAGACAAACAGGGAATAAGAGTGTAGGGAGAATACTAACTAGTGAAGTGCTGGGTTCCCTAAATCTAAATCACCTAAAGATGCTTGTAAAAGAAGCAAACAAAAAACTGACCCCAAGCTTTCACTACCAATTTTCTGAATCAGAATCTCCAGAAAGAGAGCCTAGGAATCTGCATTTTTCAAAAGATCACTAGGTGATTAGTATGGCCACTCAAGTTTAAACTCAGTGGTTGAAGGAAAAAAAATAATGTAAAGATAAAATTATTATTTTGTAAAACTGGAAAATAAGGCTTTATACATTCACCACTTCCAAGTGTGGGCATAAACTACTCTGGTAATTGTTTTTAAAAACACTCTACCCTTATTGGTTCTGTACTATTTACCTAATCTGGCAAGAGTCTGGTGTTGCAAGGCCAGAGTTCACAATTCTAGACTCCTAAATCAGAAAACTTGGCTGCGATTCACAATCCATTCTTGGGAGATGGTGAACAAGGACTAACGATGCGGTACAAATCAGGATAGCAGAGTAATGACTGTGGGTTTTACTTTTAGATAATTTTTTAAATGTGCAATTCTCACAGGGGCTGAATATAATCTGAATCACTTGGAGAAACTTTACCACGTAAACTTGTCGAGGGACCCATAATTTCAGTGGGGAGGTGAGGAAGGAAAAGGACAATCTCTTTGACAATAGGATCCCTCTGTTAAAAACCACCTCTTTCTAGCCTGACTCCTTATCTACTCTGCCCTGCCCTTGAATATACAGTTGTGTCTTCTCGGCATGTTTCCATTTAAAACATTTCCATACCTTGCCAATAAGATAAAGTCCAAACCTCCAAGATCAAGACCCTGCCCACTTCTCTAGCCTTACTCCAGAACCACTTCCTTTTTGGTCAGTACATCCCACATACCACTTCCTGAATATTAATGCTTAAGGTAAGAAAAAATAAAAAAACGATGACGCATATAATCATACAGGTGCCACAAAGGATATGAAAAAAAAATAACTGACTGAAATTAAGGAAATGTTGGTATGGCAGTTAAGGACCCAGGCTCTAGATTCACAGATCTGGCTTCAAATTCAGATTGTGCCAGTTCCTTGCTCTGGATGAGTTCCTACCTTATAAAGTTACTGTGAGAATTAAATGAGTGGACCATGTAGCTCAGGGTCTGGCTAACTTGTTCAAAGTTCTCCATTGCCTTCAGAAGAGGCCAGACTGAATTAATACCTGAGCCTCAAACTATTCCAAAAACTTCAACAGGATGGAAAGCTCTCAACCTCATTTTATAAGGCTGCCATCACTCTGATTCCAAAGCCAGACACATTATTTAAAAATAAAGAAATTGGAAGCTGATACCTCTAATGAAAATAGATGCAAAAATCCTAAACAAAATATTTGCAAATTGAAATCAGCAATATATTAAGATCATACACCATGACCAAGTGGGATTTATTCCTAGGATGCAAAGTTGGTTCAATATCTACAAATCAATTAATGTGATATACCGCATTAATTTCCCATTTGCCCCGAGAATACTTGCCATCAGTGCTTGTGGCTGCAGGGTTTGCCCCGAAATAACTCGCGGATTACAGTCCTAACCTTACCCTGAAAGTTTGCCATGAAATATCTTGCTTTTATTATTTTCGCATCACTTTAGTATATTGAAAGTCTCCAGAAACAAAATCATTCTATTTATAGTATTCTGTTTTTAGTAGTTTGATCACTGAAAATGTCAAATCCTAAAAAACATAGCATTCCTACACGTGATGGTAAATCCTGGCACCAAGCTGCATTTTTTTTTTTTCTAAACGAGAAAAGGGTTGACAAATTGAAAGGTAAAAAAATCATATACCAATAGACGCAGGAAAAGCATCTGACAATATCCAGCAACCATTTATGATGAAAACTCTCAGCAAAGTGGGAATAGAAAGAACATACCTCAACTTAATAAAAGCCATATATGACAAACCTACAACTAACATCACACTCAAAGCTAAAAGTGTTTTCCTTAAGATCAAGAACAAACAAGGATGTTCACTTTCACTTTTATTCAACATAATATTGTAAGTTTTAGTCAAAGCAATAAGACAAGAAAAGAAATAAAAGGGATCCAAAGGTAGAAGTAAAACTGTCAGTACTTGCAGATGACATACTATATAGAGATCCCTAAAGATTCCACCCAAGAACTATTGGAACTGATAAGTGAATTCAGTAAAGTAGCAGGATACAAATAATGAATAATGAATTATCAGAAAGAGAAATTAAGAAAACAATATCACACCCTCTCACCCTGCCAAATCCCATTTACAAATGCATCAAAGAAAAAAAAAAACCTAAGGAGAAATTTAACCAAAGAAGTAAATGATACAAATAAATGGAAGCATATACTGTGCTGATGGATATGAAGAATTAACATTGTTAAAATGTCCAAACTACCCAAAGCAATCTAAACATTCAATGCAATCTCTATCAAAACACCAATGGCATTTTTCACAGAACTACAATAAATAATCCTGAAATTTATATGGAACCATAAAAGACCCCAAAGAGCCACAGCAATCTTGAGAAAGAAGAACAAAGTTGGAGATATCACAATACCTGGTATCATACTATACTACAAGGCTTGTAATAAAAACGGCATGGTACTGGCATAAAAACAGACATATAAATCAATGGAAAACAAGAGAGAGCCCAGCAATAAACCAATGCTTATATGGTCAATTAACCTATGACAAAGGAAGCAAGAATATATAGTGGGGTAAAGGCAGTCTATTCACTAAATTGTGTTGGGAAACTGGACAGATACATGCAAACAAATGAAAATTAGACCACCTTTTTACACCATATACAAGAACACACTCAATATAGATTAAGGACTTAAATGTAAGACTCCAAACGATAAAACTCCTGGAAGAAAACATAAGCAGTAAACCGACTTTGCTTTTAGTATTGTTCTTTCTGATACATCGCCTCAGGCAAGGGAAACAAAAGAAAAAATAAACAAATAGGACTACATCAAACTAAAAGGTTTTTGCACAGCAAAGGAAACCATCTCCAAAATGGAAAGACAACTTACTGAGTGGGAGAAGATATTCACCAATGATACATTTGATAAGGGGTCAATATCCAAAATTTATAAAGAACTCACACAACTTATCACCAAAAAAACTAACAATCCAATTTAAAAAAATGGGCAGAGTACGTGAATAGACATTTCTTCAAAGAGTGCATACAGATGGCCAACAGACAAATGAAAAGATGCTCAATGTCACTAATCATCAGTGAAATGTAAATTAAAACCACAATGAGGTTATCACTTCACACCTGTCAGAATGGCCATCATCAGTAAATCAACAAATAAGTGTCCATGAGGTTGTAGAGAAAAGGGAACCTTCATGCACTGCTGGTGGGATTGCAAATTGGCGCAGCCACTATGAAAACTGTATGGAGGTTTCTCAAAAAATTAAAAATAGGACTACCTTTTGACTCAGCAATTCCAATTCTGCATATCTACCCAAAGAAATACAAAACAGTAATTCAAAAAGATATATGCACCCCTATGTTCACTGCAGCATTATTTACAATACCAAGATATGGAAGCAACCTAAATGCCCATCAATAGATGACTAGATAAAGATGTTGTGGTACATATATACAATGGACTATTACTTGGCCATAAAAAAGAATGGAATCTTATCTGCGACAATAGATGGACCTGGAAGGTATTATGCTAAGTGAAATATGTCAAGACAGAGAAATACAAATACCATATGATCTCACTTATATGTGGAATCTAAAAGACAAAATTAATAAGCAAACAAACCAGAAACAGACTCATAGATACAGGGAACAAGCTCACACCAAACCCAGATGTGAGGGGGGGTTCAGAGGGTGGAGTGAAAAAGGTGAAAGGATTAAGAAATATAAATTGGTAGTTACAAAATAATCATGGGGATGTAACGTAATACACAGGTAATATAGTCAATAATATGGTAACAACTACATATGTGCCAGGTGGGTACTAGTCAGGAGGATCACTTGTAAATTAAATGTATCATTGGTGAATATCTTCTCCCACTCAGTCTAATCAGTATGCTGAACCCCTGAAACTAACATAAAATAACGCTCAACGTCAACTGTAATTGAAAAATTTAAAAAAGGGGGGGAAGGTGAAAGAGAATAAGAGGTTCACATTTCCAAGTATAAAACAAGTAAGTCATGGGGATATAATGTACAGCATAGGAAATATAGTTGATAATATTGTGATAGCAGTGATAGCATTGAATAGTATCAGATGGTTGCTGGACTTATCATGGTGTTCACTTCTTTAGATAGATGTTGACTATGATATACATTTGAAACTGATATGGTATGTTAGCTATATTTTAATAAAAATCTTTTTTTTAAAAATGAAGAAGTCAGACTCTCTGGCTTATATGACATTTATGACCCTGCTAAAATCTCCAGTCTCCTCTCTTGCTCCCTCTTCTTCCTCAATTCCAGACATCCTGCTCTCCAACACTATATATCCTCTTACTTAGCCCAGATTTCTTCCATGCTGTTATCTCTCCTTCCCTGAGATTCCTTTTCCCCCTGGCTAACTCTTAATTATATTTTAGGGCAGTCCAGATGTCAGCTCCTTTGAAGAAACCATCCCAGACCATCAGCGCTGTAGGAGTTACTCTCCGTGTATGCCCAATACTTCCTTATGGGCCTCTGCATTAGCCCATCCCACATCATGCTTATACCTATGGCCCCTACTCCCAACTGTGAGCTCTCCTTCCTGCCTTCCCCTCAGTGAGAGAATCCTATAAGGTGGGAACCAGCAAGGCCCTTACAGACCATCCACTCTGCTACATAAGTGGAAAAACTGAGCCCTAGGCAACAGTAATAAACACCCTGAGGGCTTACCTTGTGCCAGGCACTGTGCTACGCATTTTACAGATGCCTCGCCAGTTAGGTATCATTCTTATCCCGCCTACCAGTAAGGAACCTGCCTCAGATGTCTAGTATGAAATTCTAAACATTTAAATGCCTCTTGACTTTTTTTTGTGAATTGTACATTGCCCTTGCCCATTTTCCTATGGGACTGTTGGTGTTTTCATTGATAACTAAGATTATATATACAAAGGCCCTCAGCCTGCCAGGCTCCTGCAAATAATTTCTGGTTAGTATGACTTAAAATCTTGTTCTGTTCTTGACAGACAAGCTCCTAATGTCTATTTAGACAAATGTCTACCTTTTCATTGCTTTTAAGCTTGAAATGACCAGAGATTTCCTTAACAAAGACAAAAGCCTAAATTCTAACTATCCCTTACAGGTATACATAGATACGCCCTGTGAGCCAGGCCCAGTTCTAAACTACCCGCGACCACTGAAACATCACAGCAACTTGGGAGGTCGGTAATATAGCCCTGTTCTCGTTTCACGGACGGGGAAGCTGAGGCTCGCACAGCGGCAGATGGGAGTGGGCCGTGGGGATGAAGTCACTGGCCTCGGAGCGAGCCCGCCTGGCCCTGCAGCGCGCGGTGCTTCCTTGCCCGGGTGTCTCAGCGCGGAACGACCGGGAGGGGAACGAGCACCCTTTACACCACCCACGAGAATGGGGGCCTGAAGCCTTCCATCGGTCGCCAGCCTCCCCTTCCCAGACCCAGCAGCCGAGGTCCGAGGCTAGGGTGCCAGGCCCTCACCGAGCCCCGCCCTCGGCCCCTAACCTCCTGCAGCGACTCCGGCACCAGCGCGGGCACGATGGGCCGCTTCACCCCGCGCTGCTCCTTTTCCTTCTCCCCGCCCTTCTCTTTCCCGTTCTCCGCGTCTCCCTTCTCCGCCTGAGTCATCTCGGCTGGCGACCCCAGCGAACCCCGAGCTCCTCCACTGCGCCGCGACCGCCAGAACAGAAGGGCTTCTGCGCAGGCGCAAACTCCCGGCCGGCTGCCCACAGTCAAGATGGCCGTCGGAGAGACGCCGCAGAGAATTCGGAGAAACGGAAGGGCGGAGCTGTACGCTGGAAGCCGCGTTGGGAGTGAGGTGGGTGTGTGCGGATTAGGTGGATGTTGCTGTGATTGGTTCTGGCTGTAGCATGCCAGCTATTGTTATGAGTTTACCGTGAACCAGCCAATAACCGGCATCTCATTCCTTCCTCAGCTGCCTTTTTTCCTCAATATCCAGACCTCATATATACTCCTATTTCTCCTCATACTTCACTGGTTGTGCTCACTCCAGCCTGATTTTAGGGTTCTCTAGATCTAGGTCTCTCTACACACTCCTTTCATGATGGCTTTATCCAGTTTCGTGGCTTTATATATGAAGATAACTCCCAAATACATGTTTTCAGTGTAGATCACTCCCTAAGATCCAGATCAATATATTTGGTGTTTTCACTTGGATGTCGACAAGGCATTGCAAACTATGTCCAAAATGGAACTCTTGACCCTTTCCCCACAGCACCAAAAAAAAAAAAAAAAAAAAGCCCTTCCTCCCACTGTAACCATTTCAGCAATTTTCACTTTGATACATCCCCACTTCTTGGCAAATAGGGTTGAATACTGATAAATGGATTTTAAAAAATGCTTTTATATGAACACTTTGCTTTCAAAGCCTGTTAAACACTAGAAGAATTATCTGTATTACTCACTCTTCCAATAAAAATTTCAGTGCCTATTACATGTTGTCACTGTTGAAAGTATTGGGGTAAAGAAGATGAAATCTCTAACCTTATAGAGCTTCCATTCTGGTGAAAGAATATAAGAGTTACCAGCATTTAGATGGAAGTTAAAGCCAATAGGCAGTATCCTAAGAAACGGTTTAGAATTCAAATTTGTGAAGATAGCATTGAAGTCCATGAATTTAAAGAACACCTAGTAAATCTTCATTTCGTAGCTCAGTTGTTGGTTATGGCTTTATAAATACCCCGATAATTACATGCGGTAGCAAATCAAATACACTGTATTAAAGATTCATGGGACAAATGCATTTCAAAATAAAAATCCAAGAGCACAGGTATTATATGCATGCTGTTGAAATAAATACAATGTGATTTATTTATAAAAGAAAACAATTAACATTTACAGAAGTTTAAAAAGGTGACACTAATAATACTAAATACACAACCTTTTATTTTTCTTCGAATATAATGAAAACAAATTCAGATTTTTTCTGTTTTCATTATATAAAGATGAGAAATCAGATTTGTAACCTAAAAATATGTACTTATTAAAACTATACTAATAGTTTCATAAACTATACAAAAAGATGAGACAAATATGTGCATTTATAGAACTGCATGTCAGTCATGCCGGATCCCTGTGAGGGAATTCCCAACACAACCTCATTCATCTGTGAGGACACAGAGCAATCCATGTTTAGGACATACACATCCATCTACTTGTCCAGCATAGTCTGCCCTCCACTCCTTGATGGTTTCCTTCTGCAATGAATGTGCATGTCCAGTTGTCTGCTTCTTACAGCAGACATTTACCTAAAAAGAAAGGTTATAATAATTAGTTGCTAGTTATTAATTTGGATATGTATGAAAAATCCAACAATCGTTACATGTTATAAAACCTGTTTCAAAAGACATTTTGATAAAAAAGCCAATGGATTTTCAAGGGTTGCAAATAATGATGTCCAAGTAATTAAAAATGTTGGGCATCTTCTGTTTTCCTAAACATCTTCCTAAGGAAGCATTTTCAAAATGAAATCCCTGTAGAATAATTTGAGATTTTTAAGTTACCTTCCTCATCCACCAGCCATTGGAGGAGGATTAGGACCATGCAGATGATTAATTCTACCCATTCTTCTGGGGGGGTTTCCTGGAGGCCTAATAAAAGAAAAAGTTAATTTTTACTGTTTAGTAGACATTATTTCAATTGGACCCTTTTCTTTACTTAAAATAGAAACTACCATTTAAGACAAAAACGCAAACCCTTATAGGGAACCAGACACATAAAGCACATGAGGAAAGTGAGTCAGGCAAGGACTGTGATGAACTAAATAGCATTTCCTGTAAATGCCCAACAGAAACCCAACTCCAGCTGATTTTTGTCTCATGGAAACACAAGCCTAACCTAATGCTGCTCGATCTTCTGAATTTTTCATTAGCAGTTGGAAATTGAGATTCTAAAATTTGAAATCTCTAGATTTTAATGTTGGCGCTCAGCTTTCATCCTTTAATTTAAATATATTCCATAGGATATTTGATGTACATTTTCACTTTGCTAGATTAACTCTATCAAATCAGAGGCAATTTAATTTACAGTAATTCATTAATTTTGTGAAATAGAATTTAAACCTTTTGTTATCATGAGCCTGCTTGCCTGCCCATCTATCTATCTATCCATCCATCCATCCATCCATCCATCCATCCATCCATCCATCATATCTAATTTAACTGAAATTTACAGAGAGGTAAAAACATCTATTATCAAGTTAAAAAACTATACCCTCTTCCATCATCATATCTGGAATCAGATGAGTTTCTGTAGCCTCTTCTCTTTTTCACATCTTGCTGAAGCAGAGTTTTGAAACTGAAACAAGAAGCAGAAAACAACAGAAGTACTACTTTCGACATTATAAAAGGTATTTCCATAGTTTCAACTATTATCTCTGTGAGAGGACAACTGTTTTAGCTCCAGACCCGTATTTCTTGAAGCCATCTGTACAACACCATCTAATGCAAGCACATCTTTAAACAGAGTGTGCTACGTTCTGTGCCAAAGCCTCACTTCCTTGTTTTTCTTATTTTCTGATAACTCGCGTAGATAACTCCCCACATTTCCTGGTATTGTACATTCATTGCTCCTATATTTCCCCTGTTGACAGCCTACCTAACATTTCCTTGTATGTGGGGAAACAACTTCGATCCTCTCTTGTCCCGTTAGTTTTTTCCATGGAACTCACTCTTCTATTTTACCTTTTCTAATTTATGCTACATGCAGCCATCAGATTACTCTTCTAAACCACAGAGATACTCAAATTAAGTGTAAAGATCACAGACTGATATTCGAACTTCTCGGCCACCTTTCCTGTGTTTCTTCTACCTGGAATAACTTTCTCTGAAGATCACCTCCCACAATCATTCCTGCCCCAATGCCTCTTGTAGTATATTTACTAATTTTAAGGTCAATGAAGGGACTGTTTCCCACATCTTCGCATCCCCACAGTTCTCTACCCACGAAACATTCAAACATATATATTCAAATTTAGGATGAGACTTGTTAGTAGTTGATAAACAATTTTCATAAAATATATAGCATGTGAAAGACCAAAAAATGCATTTAACTAAGGACTGCTTGAAATTATAGTGGTTTAAATTTTTGTCTCCTCTGTATTGATTCTAATTCTTGATTAAACAAAAACTTTATTAACATGGGAGCTTTTTTTTTAATCAATATCTAATTCCCCTTGTTTACTTGTTGTATAATATTGAATAAAATTTGCACATACACCCTAAAGCCGGGAATAGTAAAGAGAAGCAAGGCATTGTCATTCTGGCACCATAGCTGCAAGTTGATATAGTTACCACCAAAGCTAAGATATGGTCAAAGTTAATAACTCAACTAACATTCATAATCATAAGATGTCTGGTGGAGGTGTTAGCACTACACAGTATTCATTTTCCTTAGTAAAGCTAGTAATAAAAAAAAAAATTAAAAACTGCTTCAGGAAAGCTGAGCTTGTTTAAGATATGCAACATAATGTACCTAATGGACTTCTGGCAACTTAATCAGGGCTACTAAGAGCACTACTATACTTACAACAAAACCACAAACTCAGCTATTCCCCAAAAGAAATCTGTTATCAATGATAATCTCCATGGGGACTGACTCCGACTGTCCAACACTTGACCTACAGACAAGAATAAAGAAACTTTAGTTAGTGTTACAAATCCCTGACTCAAGACGCATTACATTTAATCAGTTACATAACAATCATAGATTCAGTTTTCAACTTGTGTATCATTCCAAATGGTCAAGGAAAGGAGAGGTCTTTTATGTGTACAACATTTTAAGGAAGAGTTCAAAGAAGTAAAGCTTTGTGATCTAGCATTCATCCCTTGAATACATCAGATGTTTTCCTATAGTTTGTTATTTTGGAGGGTGACACTTCAAGTATTTTTTCTTTTATTACTGTGGTAAAATATACACAAAAATTTACCATTTTGACCATTTTTAAGTGTACAGTTCTATGGCGTTAAGTATATTCATATTGTTGTACAACCATCACCACTATCTTCAGAACTTTTTCATCTTCTCCACCTGAAATTCTGTACCCATTAAACACTAACTTCCCATTTCTTCCTTCCCCTAGACCCTAACAACCACCATTCTACCTTCTGTCTCCATGAATTTGAATGCTATAGGAACGTCACATGAGGAAGCATACAATATTTGTACTTTGGTGACAAGCTATTTCACTTAACATAATGTCTTTAAGGTTCATCCATGTTGTAGCATGTTTCAAAATTTCCTTCCCCCCTTTTTTTTTAAGGCTGATTAATATTCCATTGAATGTGTATACTACATTTTGCTTATATCCATTCATCTGATGGTCACTTGGGTTGCTTCCACCTTTTGGCTACTGCGAAAATGCTTCTATGAATGTGGATGTACAAATATCTGTTTATTCAAGTATTTTGAGGAAACAAATCAGTGAATATAAAAGAATGCTCACACCAATTCTATTTTCCTAAATGTGTTCAAGGTATTTTTCACTTGCAAAGCATCTTGCCTATATAAAAAGATTGTTTACACATGCCCTTCCAAGTCTTTAGAATCAGTTATAATAAAATTTTTATAAATCAAAGAATCTGTGTGTTCTAAGTATTGAAGAGAATTAAGCTTGGTCATTAAAATGACCAGTATTTTCTGTAAAAGGATGCTGTTGATTCTAATTCTAGACTTCAGCTTTATCTTAAGCAAAAATGAATTTATTTTTCAAACCACTTTAAATAATAGAAGCTACAACATGAAAAGTTAGTACTCTATAGAGTTTTGGCCTTGTAAATCAAGAGGTCAGAATATTTTGGGAGAAGAGCTGTCAACTATCTCTCTCTCCATTTACCCAAGGGCTTCTCCATGCTCATTTCCACCCCTCCAGCCAGGGTTTACTTTTCCGCTTTCCTTGCCCAGTTTACTTTCAGGTATATCTACTCATAGAGCTATAGAGAAAAAAGGGCTAGATTTAAAGACAGCATGAGTGATAGGCTTGGTTCTGCCTCTTACTAGTTCTGCTTCCTTGGCTGATGTGACATTTTCCTTCTCTGAGAAAAAGTATTCCAGGCTTAGCCATATAAGATTGTTGGGGAAAGAAAGTCATTGATGGTAAGAAATGTTTTGTCAACTATGAAGTGCTGATAAATACAGTCCTTCTAAAAAGACAAATCTCTGGCAGTACTTCCTTTGTGATTCCAAAGAACCTATTGCTCGCACTTGCATCATTCCACCTTGCTTTATTCACTTTCACTCTTAGTTTCTGAAGGCAGAAACCTCCTCCTCCCAATATCCTTAGAGGGCAATAAGTTGCTTGAATGCAATTGGCATTTCTCAACTATAAAAATGAGATAAAAGGCCCTAATAGATCCTTTATAGCATTTATGAGGATCAAATACAATAATGCATTCACAATAAGCCACATTAACAAAGAATTATTCAATAATGCATAAATAAAAGCTGCCGGCCATAATCACAAAGGTTAAGATACGAAGTTTGCAAGTGCCCAAAACGAAGATAAAATTTTGATTTTTGTGTGTGTCCATCAACTTACCTATTTCAAAGATTTTTAAGTAGGAGACAAGGAGAGAGAGAGAGATTTCAAAGATCAAAGAAATACAAAGTCCAGGCAGCCAAACGACTTCTCCTGACTATCTTAGTTACCTCTGAAGATAAACAGATGATTCAAATAGAACCAGAACCTACTTCCTGTGATCCATGAACTATTTGTTAAGATTGCACCAACACCAATTTGTTTCACCTGAGTCAAACAGGTGGACAGGCGGTTCTGGCAATGCTCTGACCCAGTTATGTTGTGTCTTTCCATTTTCTTTCTTACTGAATTAAGTCTCCCTGATTCTCAATTCTGCAATAATTAACTTGCTCTAGAGGGAGCTTCTTCCTGTGCCCCCTGAAATTAGGACGAATGACTATAGGTATGACTGACTAGATACCCTCTCCTGGGAGAAAACTAAAAACTAAAGCCCACGCAAAACTTTCATCTAATTCCCTCAAAGTTATAGAAAACCAGTATAACTAACAACAGTAAGGACGCTGACATCAGCCTACTTCGATTCAAATTCCGACTGAGCCATCAACTAACTTTGTGATCCTGGGCAAATTCTTTAATCTGCGCCTCAGTCTCCATCCGTAAAATTGGGAAAATAAAATACTACCTGAAAAAGGCTGTTATAAAGACTGAATGAGTTGATGAGCGAATAATGCTAAAACAGTGCCCAAGGCACGAGCGCTACGCAGATGGTGTTAATGTTATTACTATTAAGGGGATAGACGCCCGAGAGGAAAGACCACTTTCGCAAGGCCCACATCAGAAGCTCTCCAGAAAGACCCTGGCATCCCGCACAGCTGTCACCATGGAGAGAGACCTCCGCCCTAGCCCAACCGCTTATGCGCGATGCGCTGACGAGCCGCAAGCCCGGGCGACCTCGCCTGGCTGTGTGGCATAAAGTCTACGAGAGCCGCGAAGGGCACCAGGCCCGGCGGGCGAGGGTGGAAGAAACCCGAGATCCGGCCTCCCAGGCCAGCGGTCGCCCCTTTACCCGTTTCGCCCAGCTCCGACTCACCATTCGAGATGTAAACCATCTTGTTTCTCCTTCCCCGCCTCCGAGTGACTGAGGGGCCTGACCCCTCCCGACTTCCGTATCTCCCTCCGCGCCCGCCTTTTAACGTCACAGACTACATTGAACGCAGGGTGACAGAAGAGGGAGGTGGAGAGAGCCCATTGGCCGGGGAAGCCACGCTATCCACGGGTGTGTTCGCTTTGTCACGCAGGCGACTACCAGTAAAGCGGAGGCTGACGTGTATATGGTCGGATACGCTGTTTGGAAGACAGGCTGTAAGCGCGCGGTTTTCCGTCGTTTGCGGAGCTTCTTTGCACTGCCGCGCGAAGAAAAGCCGCTTTCTAATTGTTTGATAGGCCCAGGGTCGGGGGAGGCAAGGCTCTCACGCGTGAAGTGGCTTGGAGAACCGCTAGCATAAGGAAGTTCCCCCAGAATCTTCAAGACATGTTGATATTTGAGGGTGCGGATGGAAGTGCCTTTGGGTTGAGGCGGTAACCAAACTGTAGAGGAGCTTTATTGTCAAGCCTTTGGCAATACGCAGACAGGCACCTACTGGATGTATTTATTCTCTTTTAAACCAGTGTTTCTGCTCTTGGTTCACCAGAAGTGGTTGCGTTTTTTATCCGCTGTTGGTGAGGCAACTGAAAACGCGAGACCTTTCTTCTTGTTTCTTGATGGCCCCTGCATGTTAGCACTGTAGAGTTGGCAGACGAGTAAGATATTTCCTGGTCATTCATTAAATAAAGACCACATACAATGTGCTGATGTATATTTACTCTGCTTCATCCACTGGGATGCTTTGTGTTTCCTTAACATGTCCCAAGGCCTCTATAATTTGGCTATTCTTTCTATGTGGATCCCTAATTGCTGCTTTTTTTTTTTTCCCCAGTTCTCGTGTTATTTCATCAGAAAGGTTCCTAATCAACTTTTCTAAAAAGACACTGAAAATTATATTTTGGAAATAATTATGTTTTGCATTTAACAATGTTGGTTAAGATCGTAAATATGTTCTAATATCTGGAATAATTAAAGATTTAACTTCGTGCTGACTCTTTTGGGAGCATTGTCTCCCCAAAAGTGCTTACATCCTTTGCTTCATTTAAAATTTTTGCAGAACAATTATAGAGGATCATTTTTGCAAAAATATTGGAGGGGAGGTCATTAATTTTTTCAAAGACCTTAATTTGGGTCATGCAGCCATCATTTCTTAACCTGCTCCACTCCAATTGCCTTCTAAGTGAAATCCTAGCTTCCACCTTTACTGGCCTTAAGCAATTTTTCGCACTGCAGCAAGAGTGATCTTCAAATGGGAATCATCTCGTTCACTTGTCTACAACACTGAAATCTTTATAATTACTTTCTTTATAGTACTTAGCACAATGTGAAATTATTTATCTAATAATTGGCTTCATCTCTCTCAAGAAAACATGACATCTAAGAGTTCAGGAACCTTACCTACCTTGTTCTCTTTTACATCTTCAAGGTCTATCATAGTCCTTGGCAAGGAGTAGGTACTCAGGTATTGGTTGGGGTTAAGGGGAAGGAAAGAGAAATATCTTAATAGAAGTTCCCTAAAAAACTCCCCAATCACCTAGGGAAGAAGAGACTCCTTTGTTCCAGACACTTATAAGCTATCTCTTCCTCTCCATTCTTCTATCTAGAACATTTCTTCTTGAGATTTAATGCAGTGATTTCCTAATGAACTACCTCTAGTGAGAGAGGAGAGGAGACATCTGAAAGTAAAAATAGATGCAAAGGAAAGGGCCTGCAGAAATAACCGACTCAGCTGGTTAAAACTGCTCTCTCTCCCCCCTATGCTCTTCAGTTAACATGTTTTTCACAGCTGCATCCCCCACCTCAAGGATTCTGCAGCTCCTTCCCTATCTCTGTAGCTGTATAGGAATGTCAGGACTGTGGAACTGTTTGCTGTGTTACAGCGAGAGCTCAGCCTTTGGATAAGAAACCCGCTGAGCAGGCGCAGACATCAATGAATGCTGTTCCCTATCTGTAAGCCTAGGAGTCCCGTCTCTTTGTTCAAGAATCAGATAAAGGTGCTGATAACACCAAGGGTCTGGAAATTCCTCCCCTTCAGCCCCCCCACCGGAAGCTGCCCCTCCCCACTCTGAGTAAGGAGGTACATGTAAAACCTCAGACAAAGGAATCACACACCCCTTGCATGGACACTGCAAGGGTATATAAGCTGTAAGAAATTTAACGAAGGGGAGATCGTGCTTTGAGTTTGTTAAATGTCCCACGCTCTCCTTCCTCTAACGAAGTTGTCTGAGCGTCTGAATTCCTTTGTCGGATGTCGCTTCCTGCAACACTAGCCTCTCCCACTCTTTCTTTTTATATTAAGCTGCCTATTTAATCCAAACTTGCCTCTTCCCTGCATCCAACCTTTGGTTTCTCCCCGCTACCTGACAAATAACACGCAAGGGCTTCTCTGATACATTTTCATAGGTTTATTTCTATGACTTCTAATTTCCTAATACACTCCTTGTTTTCCTCCTTTGTTGCTTCTGCTCCTGCTTTCCTCTTGATGGGAATTTTCCCCACCTTCTAAAATCTAATCTATCTTTTAAGGGGAGGCATGTGCCTATCAAAATAATGATTGTGAAAGTACTTTGCAAATTGAAAAAAATTATGTAATTAGTAGTAATGTAGGGAGGAGGCAAGAGAATTAAAATGTTAATCAAGCCATAATCAGAGACTGCTATATACTGATCCGCCCGGAGGACACCTTCAGAACAAAGGAAGATTTCTGCTGGGATTGCTAACAACCCATTCTCCACACCAGGGAAAACAGGAATCACAGAGTCATTCTCCTCTGTCTAAAACCATGGGGAACCTATGGATTAAAGGCTGGAAACTGCCAGCAGGCCTTTTACTCTACATATTCTTACCTTTTCAGGCTACATACTCTTCCTCTTCCTCACTGTATGTCCATATCAAAGGAAATGAGAAGTATGGAATGATATATGAAATTCCCTGAACACTCAGGGATGGTCCCTCTTGGTCCCTTTACTCTCTCTCACTGTCTACCTCTGAGAGGAGACCACACTCTGTGGAGTGTTATCCCTTTTTTAATGAAACTTTCCCGTTGACTCTGATTTTGGTGTGTGTGTGGAATTCTTTCTAGACTCTCCGCCAAAGGACCCTCTTCTCTCGGTACAGAGCTTGGTCTCCCCATCACTTGGAGAAATTTGCCTTGTCCTGCATCAGTAGCAAGATGAGATTGGGGACAAAGATAGCATTTCCCCTCTTTCTAACCTTTAAGGTAAAGACTGCATGTTAGCTACTAGCCACTTGTGGCTGTCGAGCAGTTGCAATGTGGCTTGTCTGAATTGAGCTGTACTGTATGTGCAAAATACACATACAATGATTTAGAATGGAAAAAGGAATGTAAAATATCTCTTTTATACTGATTACATGTTGAAATAATATTTCGGATATTGGATTAAAACATTTTAATATTAAAAAATAAAAAGTTTCTTTTTACTTTGACTGCTAGAAAATTTTAAATTACGTACTTGGCTCACATTTATGGTTTACATTGCATTTCTGTTGGCCATCACTGGTCTAGGAGACATCATTGGCCTGGCACGGAAAAGACACAATATTTGTTGAATGGACGGATGAATGAATGTTCTCAAAAATGGATAATATTTATACAAGGTTTACTATGTTTTAGTTACTGTTCTGAGCACTTTCCATTCATTAGTTCATTTATTCCTTACAACAACAGTAATAGCTAACATTGATATAGCACTCCAGTAAATGGTCTAAGTATATTAATTCATTTAAATCTCAACCTTATTAATTGAGTTCTACTACTATTCTAATTTTACAGATGAGGAAATTGAGTCATAAAGAGCTCAAGTGACTTGCTCAAGTCATATAGGTAGTAAGAAACAAAGCTGAGGTTAAGACTAAGAGTTTGGCTCTACAGTATGTGCTGTTAACTCTTGTGCTATATTGCCTCTCCACATATAAGCAGAAGTATTGAAATAGGAGGATATAATCCACTGTGGTACAGTATAGAATGGGAGGTGGTTTCCGGAGACAGTTTGAATGTATTTCAGTTTTGTCAAAGTTGCAAAATAGCTTCCCACAGTTTTTCTTTCCTAGACACCCTAAGCCTAAGATTCCTCTAAGACCTTATTAGAAAATAACAGACCTAAAAATGGAGTCACTTTTGCTGATCCCCGCCAAGATTTTATACCTAACCTAATTGCAATTTCAGCCTCTCGCAAGAGAGGAATTTTAAACCAATCAGTCTGCAATTTCCTGGTCATTGATACTGAAGTCATCTGCCTGAAAAGACCTCCTGCGTTCCCCTAAGTACCCTTCTAGTTAGTAGATGGAATGCTACCCAGTTCATGAATCACTTAATAAAGGCAATTAGATCTTCACATTTACTTGGTTGAATTTTGTTCTTTAACAACCTCTCAGTAAATTACCTTCTCATCTGCACCTATCCCTTGACCAGAGGGATGGGATCTTCTGAATGACGGCTACTTCTGGTGCCAGAGCTGGAGTCAATCCTACTTAAGTAAGCCACATGGCTAGGAAAGTGGAGAGGGATAGTATTTTTCACAAGATAGTGAAAAAATAGGGGGTTACATCAAAACAGTAGATGCCTTTAACGTTGCCTTTAAGGGATATAAAAAACAGCTGGCATTTGTATTCTTTACTAAGCTTTTATGTGTTCTTATGATACAGGACAGGGCAAATTTCCCCAAGTTGGTAGGGGGAGACCAAGCCCTACATGAAGATAAGAAGAGGGTCCTTTGGTGGAGAGTGTAAAAAGAGTTCCACACACACGCCAAAGTTAGAGTCAACGAGAAAGTTTATTAGAAAAGGGGTAACACTCCAGAATATGGTCTCGCAGAAGCAGAGAGTGAGAGGGACAGTGAGAGACAGAGTAAAGAAGGCACTGCTGAGAAGGGACCCTGAGTGTTCCGGGAATTCAGTTTATATGTCATTCTTTAGTTCCCATTTCTTTTGATATGGACATATAGTGAGGAAGTGGAAGAGTGTGTAGCCTGAAAAGGTAAGAATATGTAGAGTGAAAGGCCTGCTGGCAGTTTCCAGCCTTTAACCCATAGGTTCCCCATGGTTTTAGCCAGAGGGAATGACTCTTGGTTCCTGTT